CCAGGAACGAGATAGGCAAATGAAGTGGGTAGACTGGGCAGTTAGCAGGTGCGGAACTCTCAGTAGGGCCCATTAAATTCCACAGTTTTATCAGGTTCAACCTGGAATTGCTGAAAAGAGCCAAGTCTTTTTCTTCTTAGTCACCCCAGACATGGCTGCCAGGGTGTCTACAAGTGCACAGCCATCCTCAATCCCCACTTGTTATAATACTTGTAACCTTGATTAGGGACAACTCTTTAAAAATATAATTAAATCTGGTAAAGTTAGGGATGCAACCTAGAAACTTTTTCATTAGCATTGTCTTTTGCCAACAAGTTATGGTCCCTTTGCTTTTTGCTTCAAGGCTGCATACAAGCCAGTGAGATGGGTGGCGGGGACGGGACAGAACTCAATTCATTATTCACATTGTGTGCCTAAATGTGTTAAAGATACACGCCATCTTGCCAGTAAACAGCATTATTTTCTCTTTACAAATGGGGTTGTGCTGTAAATCTCAGAGGCTGGAAGAGATTTATGATGCTGTCTTATGCGTGTTTACTTGGAAGTACATCACAAGAAGATAAATGGAGCTTACTTGAAGGTAAGTGTGCATGTCAGGAAGTGCACAACATTTTCAGCCTCATGAGTCATGTTTGGAAAATGCTGCGGGGGGGGGGCACCCATGGCCATACACGAACACATGCGCACATAATTCTGACCCATTTGGACATTTTCCCACCAGGCATACAAAGCACAGCTCAGTTTTGGGCATGTCTGCTCAGAGGTAAGTTTTCAGACTTTCAAAGCACAAGACTGCAGGTTTACTCAGAGCAACACGGCTCATCTAGTAGGGTTTTGAACATGGTCCAGATGGCACACCGTCTGCTGGCCAGGCCACACTACCGGCTAAATTCAAGCTCTGTGCAAAGGAGGAATTTGGAAGACCCATCGTTAATTCGAGACTAGGCTTGTACTGAACATTTTTATTCAGACCAATATGAACATCCAGGTCAGGGAGCTACCAAAGGAAGCTCTGCTCTGCTCTGCTCTGCTCTTGCTCTGCTCTGCTTGGACTGAATGAAATCGGAAGGCTAAAGTAGGTGTGTTGTTTTCACGCATCAGGAGCCTCTTTCTAATTAGACCTTCAAGAGAACTGGGCCTTCTGAGCCAGCTCCTACTGCTATTAAATATAGCAAAACTCAGGGGTGCAAAATGGGATAGGAGCCTGTTTCGGTCTGACTGGCAAGGCTGCTTTCCTATCTGCCTGGTTTCTAGCCCCAGGTGTTGAAACACTCTTTGCACGCAAGTGGATGAAAGTTTGTGCCTCTGAGCAGCTGCTGCCTAACTTTGGAGCAGGCTGCTGTGCTTTCTTTGCTGCAGCCCAGAGGAATGAAAGGTGCTGAGGAGCCTTCCCGTCTGTCTCTTGTATTACCACTGCCCTTATGCTTACTGCAGCCTTCATAGGCAAAACAAACCTTGGTGAAAGACCACAACTGGACAACACAAAGCAAACAAGAGTGGCTTGTCATGTCATGTGAGTCCAGTCTCTTACTTTGAACAATGTAATTTAACTTCTGTTAAATTACCCAATGAGGAATGGCAAAAAATCCTGCCTGGAGTTCACTTTTCATTGCAGAATTTGCGCTGATGCAGAGCTGTGATGCAGTTCTTCCAGGGCAGCTTATCCGCCTTCCATGCTCTGGATCCCACCTCCTGCCAGTCCCAACCAGCATTCCCAATGGTCAGGAGTCCAGGGAGAAGTGATAGTCCAAAACATTGGAGGACACCAGGATGTGGAGGCTGTTTGAGGGCATTCTCCTCTGTTATCCCCAGCAATGCACAATATGCTGGGTGGGAAACTGCAGCCTTCTTCCCAGCCTCAGAAAGCCAAACTGTTCATCTGTGCATCTACGGGCTGGTTTTACCAGAAACAGAGGAAGTTTCTTTTTGTAAGAAGAGTAGTGTGAAGGGAAGCAAACCCACCCCTCCCCTGCCTCACAACCCTGTGCTTTGCTCAGCCTATGTTCCCCTAGCCCAGTGATGGCGAACCTTTTAGAGACCAAGTGCCCAAGCTGCAATCCAAAACACAAAGGGCCAACACTGTAATAAAACCTGAATACTGAGGTTTTAGTTTAGAAAAAACAATTCACAGCCAGTCCAAGCAAATCTCAATCTCAATCTCTCCCTCTCTCTTCCCCTCTCCCTCTCATTCTCTCCTTGGCAGCGCACTGACTGGCCATGTGAAAGCTCAGATGAGTCATGGCAAATGAGTTGCGGCTCATGACATCATCGCCTGGTGCCACTGCTCCTTTCCGAGCATGCGCATGACCCCTATGTGCACTGTTATCTGATGCTCGGCTGCTGGGGTGATGCTGGGGTGACTGGACTTGCATGCCGAGAGAGGGCTCTGTGTGCCTGCTGCAGCACCTGCACCATAGGTTTGCCACCACTGCCTTAGCCTAACCCTGATACCAGAAGTAAACTGGGATGGGGGAAATGTATTAGAGCAGAGCGTGGCACAGCCTGGTGTGGGACAGGGTTCCATCCGCCACATCAGAGGCACCAGTACACCCACCACCTCAGTATCTTTCTTGGTACCAGCCAACTTAGTTTTTTAAATTAACACATTTGCTTCTGGGAGTTAAGATTGCTGTGAAATACATTCTTGTGGATGCTGAAAGCTGTGGCTTCATAGTTGTTTAGTGGGTTGGGGCCCAGACTGACCCCACCTCTGCTTTATATTTAGGGTTTGGGGCAAGTTGCTTGTTCTTTGCCATACCTTTCATGGCAGCCATTTTGTGGTGGCGCCCAGGACAGTTTCCAAATGGCCAAAAATGCGTGCAAGCCAAAAATATTCCCTGGCCCATGCCATACACTCATTTAATGTTAAAAATTAGTTCCTCATTCCCACTTTATAAACAAATCCAGCAATGTTAACTAAAACACACAACTGTGTGATTTGGTTCTCAGTGACCTATTAAGTGGAATAATAACTGATTTACAGAATATATTTATGTGGACAGCACAGACATCTGATAAGAAAACAAGTTCTGGAAAGATATGGATTATTTGCTTTATAAGCAGTTCTTCACAGATTCAGGTGCTCCCTTCCAAGAAATTACCAGAAAGCACATAAGGTTTCTCTGCTGGAAGTTGAGAGGAGATAACCCCAAGTAGTTCTTCCATGGAAGACCACCTGTCAAACGCTATGATGTGCTGAGATGCCTTGAGGAAGTACAGGCTATAAAAGAATAAATAAAACATCCAGTCGGTTGTTCTCAACACTTAACCAACATAATGTATAGTGCCTGAGCCTTGGGAGATACCACTGCAGTTTGTTAGTTTTTGCTTGCAAGTGGTACCCATCTCTCTGTCATTCCCTTTCTCTAATTCAGTGCTCCTATGCTGACAAAAGTGGAGCCAAAACTTGACTAAGGGAAGCATCCACATATTCAGAGGAACTACCTTGCAGAAGTGCAATTAATTCTGTTAAACACACCCAAAGGGTGTCTTCCCAGAAAAGCCCAATAAGCTATCCTCACTAACAGCCATGCAGTATCAGTCAGGAGTGACTTCTAACAACGTACAATATAATGCAGAAAGGCATGGCTGGAACCCTGAGGGGGATCACTTCCATTGTGGGGGAGGATATGTGGTCACATTTTGTTGCAAATTCTGCTTCTGCATCAGCTCTCCTTCACCCCCCCCCCACACACCCCAAAATCAGGGCGATTGTTTCTTCAGTGATTAAGACGCAAAGTGCTGCAACTGGTCAGCAGGAAAGAGTGGAGACCTTGCTCTTGTCATCTGCTTCATCAGCCCTGTGTTGTCGGGAGTTTTAGCAGCAGATCTCATTTTGTTGTTGATTGACAGGGTTGAGACAGAGGGTATAATCTCTTTAGGAAGAGAAACATGCTTTAACCCATAAATGATGGTTGGTCTTTTTGCAGAAACAGGCCAAGTTGATTAGATTACTGTAAAACAGCATGCAGAGGTTTATTAGTTCTGCTTTTAACAATGCACATAGAGGAGGAGGAGGGCAGTTCTAGTGAATTAGTGTGATGTTAATGCACTTAAAAATACCATCTCTGTCTGAGCAGGTGAACCAGTATTGTTTTCGAAGGCCAACTGACATTTCGAATTCTAGAAAGATCTGTGGCAAGAGCTCTTTGCCCTCTCGATCCAGCTTTCTAGACTAGAAATAAGATAGAACCCCACAGTTCATGGGGTTGTAGGTTTTAGAACAGAACTGAAGGCCTGGAATGTGTGAAATATGAGTAATTTTAAGGATACATAATGTTTGTCTTCTCACCCAGAAAAGCTTTAGCTATTCCTCAGAGTTAAGGTGCAAGAATGCAAATGCCCAATATTTTAGAAATCAAAACACTACAGGTAAAGCTTTCATGAAGTGGTAAAATGAGCATCCATTTTAGCTGAACAGTGCCTATGTCAACCCACTTGTTCCCTTATTCTGTAAAGGGTTAGATATGCATGGAAAAGACACATACCTGTGTGTGAAGTGTGACTTGTACTGAAAGCTCTGTTTGAGTTATACCATATTATAAAATCAAACAATGTTTCTAGCAGACTACAACGTCTTGCTGCCTTCCCCAAAAACTTACATGGCATGTCATTCTATCTTCCTTAAACATGGAAAAGATGGATCTCTCCATTAACAGGCAGTCATACAGCTCCTTGAGTTCTTCATTCATTGCCAGAATGATGGTGTTTGACTGGCTGAGGTGACAGATGCTACAGAAGTGCAAACCTCCTTGTGACGATATGCTTTTTGAAGAGCATTATGACTCATATGCATAACAAGGTTTGCTGTATTACTGCCCCAGTCTGCGATTTCCACTGCTCCCACTCAAGGTGGCCAAAAGAAAGCTCTCCCAACCCGGAAGGTGATATTTCACCATCAGGAATTGTTCAATACAATTGAAAAGGAATGCCAGAGGGTGGCAGTAATGTCTTTGAATACTGCAAGTTTAGTCATAAATTAGGAGACCTCTTTATGCAAATTATTTTCAGGAGTTTTATTACAATTTGAAACCAGAAAATGCCACCAGTGCATGAGATATATACATTCATACATGGAATATGCTTTTTCCCCTAATCAAAGAACAACAGGAGTCTCATTTCATATACATGATACACAAAAGAACATATAAAAACAAAGTCAGGGCTTCCAATGCTATTCATCGACTCCCACTCAAACATGCATTCAACCTCCCCATGCCTAGATTTGCTTCTCTTGGTTTCACAATGAGAACAAACATCAGCTTTGAACAATATAAATACACAAAAAATGAAACTTTACTGGCCAGGCTTCAGCAAGCAATGCCACCAGTAATACTTTGTTCATTCCCCTATCATAATCCAACCACATGCAGCTGTTAAAAAGCAGCTTCTACCACAGAAGTGGAGTTACAATTTATCCTCGTCTATTATTGTAGATCAAATTCATACAGGTTAAATAGAATCACATTTGCAAAACAGAAAAGGATTCAGTCTGGTCCCAGTCAGCCCCCCCCCCCTGCTGCCCCCCCCCCAGGGATTAGACTCCAGGACGCCTGCCCTAAGTGAAGTGGAGCACGCTGCTTCATATCTGAAAGTAAGCTGGGTTTGCAAGTAATGGTGACTGTACTGAATCAAGTGCATCAGAGTCATTTTTTGACTGTCAATTCCTTTTCCAATAATGGATCATGTGTGGGGTTTATTCAGACCTGGTAAAATGAAGAAGAGCTCTCTTTTTAAAACATGGGCCCCAAAAACACAACTGCAGCCAAGGATTTAAAAAGGGGAAAATACAATGAAAATGTGTTATAACTAATTTGTAATAAAGAACAGCCATTTAACCCAGGGGAAGTCTCACCATTTTTTTCTTCTTAACTTTGAACTTCTGAATAACAGAATGCTTTGAGTGCAGCATGTTTCAAAAAAAGGAGAGGTGATGGCACTCCATTAATGTCTGAGATAGAAGGCCAGCTTGCCCAAAGAGAGGAGCTGATTACATTCTTGGAAGTTCTGTACTTCCTGGCATAATAATTAGTGCTTCTGTGGTTCTGCTACTACACAGGATATTTAACAAAGCACTTTTCCTGGCATACACCTTTCATACCATCCTGCTAATATATATCCATAGAAGCACCATCAGTCTCATGCATGGTATGAGATCCAGATACTTCAGAAGAACAGTTCTACTAAACGCTGCTTTTCCTTAGGCTGGTGAATACGCAGCATCAACTTTGCAGTGCTCAGGTCAGAATATACCACTTCGTAAGTGACATTTCCCAGAGGATGGTACCCATTATTGCCACCAGGTGACATGCCTTCAAGGGAGAACAGCGAGCTGGGATAAGACAGCTTTGTCCAAGATAATAGGGAAATGGCAGCGACATGCAGCATGCCTCTATTGACATTCATATTAAACTGGGAATGGCACATTCAGTTTCACAGTCTACTTGCAGGCTTGGCTACAAAGTTGCATCATAACGAATAATGCAAGAAGCTACTGACTAAAAGCATGGAAGGGAAGGGTGGGAAGAACGTTTCCTCTCTCAGGAACCACATTACCGGCTTTGCACTGGGGACGGCAGCATGCCAAGCACACATACCCGCATGCACACCCTTTCCCCGTATCACGTACGACAGCAGCCTGAATGGGACCATGGAGCGCGACTATGCAGAGAACCTCTGGTTCTGAATGGGGAACATGAGAGAGATGGTTTGCTTCCACTACTTTCCCGCTTGACCTGGATTCCACGCCTAACTAGGCACACTTCAAGATGGTGTCGACTGGAATGGGCTGGGTGGAAAAGGTGGAGACCAAGGGCTTCTACTGGGCTGGTTCCTGTCGAGCAAGCATTTAGGCCTTTGCCATACTGTAGGTGATTACAGGCAGCCCTGTAGAAACTACTCTGGCCAAGGAAAAAGAGCAAACCCAAGCCAGTCCTTTTTGCAGCCAGCGCCCCCGTCATACACGCAAGGCTGCCCCTTACGTATCAGTCACCATCTACTTGGAAAAGTTACTTTTACAATCTCAGCTTTGGAACAGTCTATCATTCATAACTATTACATACTCCACCTAAAAACTATACGGAGAATAAATATTTCTATAGGCTGAAGCAATTTCATTCTCTTCGTATAAAACTGAATGATATAATATTTGGCGCGAGGCACAAGTGGCAAGACAGTGCTAGCACCTAAATCCCATTTTACCAGATCTGAAAGGTCCCTTCCTGAAAGGGCATTCAGGATCAGCAACATGAATGGGATGCATCGATAGCCATGAACACACTCTGTCCCAAAGCAGCATTTCTTGGTGTTCATATTCTTACCGGGAAAGGAACAGAGTAAATTTCTCCCACTTCAACTAACAAAAAGCTGTGTATTTCCACAAAATATCTAACATGTAAGACAATAATTGCTGTTCAACAAATATACGTATATGTATGAATGTGTATGTACACACACACACATCCACACAAATGAGCACTACAGTGCATTGATGCAGCCCAGTAAAAAGGTCTGGCTGATAATTTACCCCTTCATTGTACGGCAGCAGCTTGTAGTATAATCTTCAGAATGGAGAGAGGTGACCTGCTACTATATGCTTTGAACAGTTCTTCCCAAGCAAGTTTCACAGCCCTCCGAGGCAGTTGTTATTTATTCTGAAGCATGATTACGTGATGAATTTTAAAAATAGAATGGCTATATACAATTTCAGAGAACCCACAAACTGCATCTTCACTTTAAATTACAACAGTAGAGATTTAAAAAAATACAGCCAGTCTGTTTCCTCCAAACAGATGTTTTCTTTTTTCATTTTTTAAAAAGCCTGTAAAAATATTTTACACGAGCAACTACATCCATCCATCTGCGATAAAAAGAAGTCAAATACATACATGAAATAGTGTTTTATTTCTATATAGTTATACTCGCAAGGCAATCAGTCCTCCTTGGCTGTCTTTTTTACCTCCAGATGCTCTGCTTTGTTGAGATGACTGCAAGACACATAAAAATAAATGAAGTGATCCCATTATGATGGATTAGCATTTGACAAATGAGAAGGTGATGACAGAGAGTGGAAGGAAAGATGCTATTCCATGCAAGTGATCTAGTTGAAATGAGCAGACTCAAGATTCTGGAAAGCTCTCTCATAAATTTTGTGTATGTGAATACAGAAGGTATAACATTGAAAGCCCCACTTGACTTCTTCCACAAGCACAAGACTCTAATCCAAGTCAAGGCAATATTTCATCATCACATGCTCCTGTATCTGAAATTTAGGTATCAGTTGAAAATTCTCAGACGTGATCTTCAAAATTAAATACATTCCAGTCCAGCAAAGGAAATACATCTTGAGGAAACTAACGGGATTTGACAAAGTGGAGCTACACAACAGAGGGAGAGGACTGTATTTGTATACTAAATAATTCTGTACTGTGTCTGTATACTAAATAATTCCTAATTGGTTCTGATGATTTAAGCTGGATATTCCACATCTATCAGAATATTCATGAACACAGTCTGAGGTCACTTACTAAAGTGCTCAAGATTTGATGCTTAAAACATGAAACCTGGACTATCTCCAAAATATCTTCAAATACAGCTTTTTGGTATCTTTTCTATGAAGGAGGTCAAAAGGGAATACAAAAGGAGCTTCAGCGAAGGTTGTTGGGAGGAGGGCCACATACTGGTGGAACTTTTCCTATTTGCACAGGAATGCTAAATGCATGGGACGTACCCAGGAAAAATTCCTGGAGATATGCCTTCTTTGTATAGGTACATTCTGTTCAAAGCAGAACGTTTGGCCCATCACCACTGGCTGGTTCCTCCACTGGGACCAATTAGACTGGAGTTTTATCCTAAGCCCAACCATTTCTTTTGAGGTCATTGTACTCAACTGCATAGCATTATTACACCAGATTCACCATAATAGGATTTTGGAAAAAAATACCTGCAAAGATAACACAGCCCTACTTATTGCATGGCATGCTTTATCCCATAGAGGAGGAGCACGGGTGACTGCTTTGACTGACCCAGTACAGCACCTAGGAGATTTCTCTCTGTGAAGCTGCCACCATCTCCTTTTGGCTGAGCTAGAACAGCCTGTTTTGAAATAAAGAGAATGCTATTCCTTAGCCAATCAGGCAGTTTACTAGGGACCATGGATCTGTTCCTCTGGTGTAAAAACTCTCTGCTTCTTAACACCCAATTTTATTCCAGAAGAGTTGAAAAAGATAGAACTACACCTTAACATTCTACTGATCAACTCTTGTATGCTCTGAAGTTACTTCAGAGCTTGTACAGATTGGATCAACACTTACAAGCTTCAAATGAAGAATAGTGAATGAAGAAAGCACACCTATTAAGTTTCTAAGAAATATCCAGCACATTCTGTATATTGACTATAAAGCAAGAGAGAGAAAATATTCCATTGCCATCTACATTTTGAGAGTCCAAGCTGTTAACCCAAATGTGATAGATTCAAGAATGTGGCAGAAAAAGCTGAGGTTTACATGCAATACAACACTTTCGTTAGTGAAGCTTTACACAGGGTCATACTAACAAACACCCTCAGCTGAATAAGCAATTGTGCACCTAGTAGGTAAAGCAAAGGTTCCAAAATAAAGATGCTATTCAGCAAGTAACCAGGATGTCGCTGCTGAGCATCTATGAATAGACCAGCTGCTGCCACCACCACACAGCAAGGCCTGGCCTGCTGTTCCAAACTCCAGAAGCCACTTACAAGTGATTCTGCTTATCCCTGCCTTCAGCCTCCTTTCATGCGCCATTTGTTACTACTGGGTCTGGCAACTTATAGTAAAAATTCCAAGGCAACCCAACCACTGCTGTTCTAAGGAAGGAGAAAAAAGAGGGAGGATAGGTGGAGAGAGAGCCTGGGAAGTTGCAGGGCCTGTGATTCTTTGCAGGTAGAAGCTGCCCCTACCAGAGCAAGATATGAACTTTTGAAGGACGGCTTGGCAAGATCAGGCATGACTGAAGCACACAAGAAGCTTAGGCCTGTTCAAACATACACACCCTCAGGGTTCAAGCTGGACACCAGGGGGTTCTGAAGGTTCCGTGGATTGCCGAGGAACTGCTTGGCTGTGGCTCTTGGAGGGGAATCTGTACTGCCACTGGATGGATCTAGGAAAGAGAATCACATTTCAGTTCAGTTCACGGAAAGCCCATTTGTTTGATCCCAGTGGCCTGCATTTTCAGGAGCAGCACCTCAATACATGTTTAAGCTCAGCTTATCAGGAACTCTGGGGTTCCTTTCTGCATCCAAGAAAGATGCACCACCTCAGCATGCATTTGGGGATTTCTGTGAGTAAAGGGCTCTTGTCAGATGGGTTGTATGCAATTCGTGTTCCTCCACTGACAGTTGGCTCTTGTGACCATTTTAAGCAACGCTTCCTGTAGCTCCTCTGCACGGCACCCTCCAAAACTTGCTTGTGTTCCGAAACTTTCAGAACAGCATGGGGTGTTGCACAAGGGCCTGAGGAGAGGAAAAATCACTGAAATTCACCTCCTCCATCATTTCTGTAAAGGAAGCTTCTGCTGGATCAAAGAACATTCCCATTTGGGGTGGATGGGGGTGGGGATGACACACGGACTGGATACAAAGTGGTATTTCCATGATTGGATTTTACTTAGTTCATTGGTCAGGCACTTTTGGTTTTGCTGCTGCCCTTTGCCCATTGTAGCACATGACGACAAAGTAGGGTAATAGCTGCCCATGTAACGCTCCCAACCCCAGTTAAGGGGGTCATAATCTAGCCACATGCTTGTTTATTCCCTCTCCTGCCCAAATTCCTCCACTGGCCACTAGCTGTAGTTAATGCTGACCGTTAACAGGACTTTTCACATGATTTTCAACGGTTATGGATTCTGCATACATATAAAATCATATACTGCCCTCCTGCTTAACTTTTCTCTGTACTTCCTCTCCTCTGTCCCCTAGCAGAATTTTAGATCACAGACTCCTTTGGGAAGATACCTGTTTTATCCCTTTAAATTAAGCATGCCAACAATGTGGCCCTCCAGATGCAGGACTGAGTCCTAGCTGGCATAGCCAATGATAACAGCTGGTGGGGCTTTCAGCCCAACAGCTGTAAGGGGCAAATCATTAACTCCATAGTCAGAGCCACCATTTGGTAAGCAGTGAAGATAGTATTTTGTATGCTACCACCCTCCTGCTTAGGTGCCCAAACATTTCAGCACAGTCTTCTCCTGGGTGTAGGGATTTTGTTACATCTTCTCCATGTGTGTTTCAAAGACTGCCCAGTATGTTTTGCTCCATCATTCATTCTACTTGTGCTAATGCATTAGAAGTAATGCTCACTTGTGCAAATGCACTTGTCTGTATTAGTTAATCCAAAGGAATACTAATATTCCCACACTAATGCTAACATTTGTGCAAGTGAACATTGGTAGTACTGTGCACTTGCACTAATATGAATTGCCAGACCCCCCCCACCCCCCCCCCAGTGAAAAAACAGTCCACAGACTTTTCATGAATTGGAAAAAGCCAGTCTACTGCAGAACCTGCAGGTGGGATTCATGGAAATCCAGATTCATTTGAAGCTGCATAGAATTTCTCTAACGCACCTTTCTGAGTGTGCCCTTTGCTGCCACTCCTAACTCAGAGGCGCAGCTAATTTCATCTAAATTGCAGAGTTATCTCCCCAGCTTCATAATCCCTGAACTGTGGAGCAGCAGAGGATACACTTCCATGCCCCAGCCTGTCACACCAGCACTTGGCAGATTCTGCAGAAGGCCATGCTTTCATATCAACGCAGCATCAGTGTGAAGAAAAATAATAACGCCACACTTGGACCTTTAGTTCAGAGACATTCTCCCCCGGCCACACATCCTTTGCAGACATGAAAAAAGATAAAAACCAAGCCCATGCCATAAATGTCTGTACTCAGCTTTTAGATTTCTTTCAGAGTTAGAAGAAAACTCAGAGCTACGTATATGCTGTACTGGATAGATTCCTCTGAGAAAAAAACCCAAGGAAGAGAGCTTGCCATGGTTCCATGGACTACCCACACCCCAAAATAATAACTCTGACACAGGCAAACTATTCTACCAGGCAATGCTAGGTGTTCAGTAACACTGGATATTGCATTTGTCACAATAAGGTTACATTTGCTGCATTTGTTACAACAAGTCTGTTAGTCTTTAAGCTGCAAGAAGACTCTTTTTTTGTTTCTTCTAAAGCAGAGATGGGCATTTGGCAGGCCAAATCTCTAGTCTGTTCGCTAGAGACTGCATGCACAGCTGCAAGGAAAAGAAAAGCGCTTGTTTGCAGGGGAAGATGATCACATGTCAAATGCCCCCGTCATTGCTATGACCATCCACCTCCATGATGCTTAATAGCTCACCCCTGGAATGTAAGGCAAATTCAAAACCTGTATGGATGCTTTTAAATGTTTCTGCTACGCTTTTTGCCAGAACTGTAACACAACATGGATGAGAATCCTAAACTTAACATGGAGCAATCTGAACGCAAGGTAACAATGGAGAATGAACTTTAATTTTTCAAATACTTAAGCAGTACGTTCAACAACTTAGAACCTTCAGCTTTGCTTCTCATCTCATGTTTAGTGTGGCAGCTTCCCAGTGGCAGCTTCCCAGTGGGCAGCTCTAATCAGTACTGCTTACATTCCAAATCCACCCCAACAAATTCAAACAGTAGTCCACCAAATGGTTCTGCCACCTGCTTTTGCACAACTTTCCTCTCCCACTGGACCCTGTCGAGCCAGGCTTCAGAGAAAGTCACGCACAATCAACTATTTGGCCACCACCTCATAGCTCTGGGATCCCGATGGAAGAGCTAATAGCCATTAGTACAATTTCCTATCAGCTTAAATGGAAGGCAGCATTACAGCACAGTAGGAGAGATGCTTAAGTGAGGGTTTCCTGTCCCCTCACCCACTCCCATGCCCATCCTTTGATTCGTGTTCCAACCTCCGTTTCTCTGGTAAGCTGGCAGCTCATAATTAGTTTGATCCAGCTGGGGTTCCGCCTCTGATCTGGGCTGCGAAGCAGTCACCATGGCTCCCGTCTGCTGGATGAACTGCTGCAAGTTACACTGCCTCAGCTCCTTATTTAGCTCCTCCAGCTCTTGGTTCTGGGCCTGCAAGACAGAGGGGGAATAGGCAGCGTGAACGCCAAATCTTATCTTCATGCAAGAGAAGAAGCTACAGAAGAAAGACTTCTGCTCCCACCTAGCTTCCTCCCAAAGTTCCACTAATTCCTTTGTTGAGTACAGATCTACCAGAAAATATATGTGATCACAGTGTAAAAGAACAGCAGGATTAACATGGTAGCTCCATATTCATTTTTGGGCATTTAAACATTCCAGAAGCTAAGGGGAAGAGTATCTCTCCTCAGTTTATCATGGCATCAGTATCTGCTGGCAGTCCAACAATTTTGCGTGTCTTTGTGCATGTCTACTATAGATGGAACTAAAGAGCCATCCAACACTATCATTATTGTTGCACTGCATTTATATCCTGCCTGTTTTCCTCTGGTGAGGAGCCCAAGGTGGCTACATAGCTCCATTTCGACTTCACAACAACAACCCTTTGAGATAGGTTAGGATGAGAGTGAGTGACTGGCCCAAAGCCACCCAGTGGACTTCATAAGGGATGTATCACCTGGTCCCCAGTTTAGCACTCTCACCAGTGCACCCCCCCGGATCCCTTGATCCCAAGTATGCAAATTACCAAAGCCCTTGCTCAAGCTCAAGCTCCCCTGGTCACACACTCATAAATTTCCTTCTTGCTGGTGGAATGTGGAAATGCCCACTTCCTTTCAAAAATGGCTGGGAGTAGAGACTGAGCCCTTAACCCACCAGGCCAGGCTTGCTTTTTCTGCCATGGGGAGGAAGGCTAGGTGTCAATTTGCCCACCTGGACTTGTTCTGGGCTTCCCATGGACATCTGGCTGGCCATACAGATACACTGCGCCGACTGGATAAAGCCTTTGGTTTGATCCAGCATGGATCTTCTTGTGAGAGTTGATCCAAGGGCAAGCTTCCCATTACTAAGATCAGTTGCTGCACGACTCCCACCACTGCCACCAACCAGTACATAAAGGTATGCCTTACAGAAGGATACTTCTGCACTTCCAATTACAATGTTAAAAAATAACCAAGGCATGTGAGAACCAGCAGCTTCTCAGTAGGACTAGGCCAGGACCCAGAAAAAATAAATGAGCCATCTGGTCACAAACACTCTTGCTCCATTTCACATCTCTATATGCAATGGGCTGTGAGCACTTACACATACCTCACAGTATTCCCCTTAATAATGCAGAGTAAATGACATGAAAAACAAGCTTTCCAGTGGAGAAGTCGAGCTGTAGGCTGAGATAACTTCAGTTTTTACTTACAGTTGTCTTAAAATTGTTTCATTTGGCCAACAGCCATGTGAAATTTAAGATACAGAAAATGAACTCAGTGAATTAATACAAATTTCACATTCTGATGAGCCTTCTTGGTCAAATTGAATGGGAAAGCAGTACTATCAAAAGTGCATGCACATATGCATAGGAAGTACAGGGTTATTAGCCAAGTCCCACTCAGAAAAAATCTGTTTTCTTGGAAGAAATCACATATCATCTGACCACACTGTGGATAAGTTGTACTGATCAAAAAGAGATCTGGAGGGGGAAAACCACCTCAAGTCTCATAAAGTCTGTTGAATGCTATTTACAGAGAAGCAGTTTCTATTGAGACAAGGGGGTTTTTTAATCACAGAATTGCAAACTCAACCCCTTAGCCAATTCAGAATATATATATAACCAAGACCTTAACCAATTCAGAATATATATAACCAAAACAGTTATTTGAAAGAAAATCTAAGAAAATGAAATGCATTAGCATTGGTGTGTTAACTTCTTACAACCCTAGCATACTTGCATTTGCATGCCTCATGTTCCAATAAATTACCAGTAAGTTATGTTTACAGAAAAGGTGCAGGTAAGGCCAGTTTGAGGATAAGAGCTCCACCATTTGACATAGTCTACCTTACCACTGCCTGGAGTTCCAAACCTCACAACACTTCTTGTAAGGCAATTGAGCTTTGTATTTTAAAATTCTGCATTAAACATTTCACAATGAAATAGTTTGATTAAGACAAATGGTAGAAAGAGGGGGGAAACAAACAAACAAAAAAGTCTGCTTCCATATAGCCTGAAGTGATTGATTCTGCCTAATCTTGGAAGCTAAACAGGGTCCAGCCTGGTGAAAATCTGAATGGGTGCAGTCCTGCATTCAGCAGGCAGTTGAACCTGACGACCTGTTAGGCCCATTCCAACTATATGATTCTATGATATATCTAGCTTAAATTATAAGTGAAATTTGGAGAACACTTCTGTGTGGATTTCCCTTAAATCAGTTGAATGGTAATGGTTTTGCATGGTAAAATTAACCATGTCTGGATGAAATGGCAACACTGAGTGGCAATTATGGGTTAATTAAACCATGAACTGTGAGACTTCACACAAGCCATTTCCAGCAACAACTTGCAAACTCAGCATCCATAGGTTGCTTCTTTGAAGTCCAAAACCAGGGTTTTAGGATCATTCACAGGCAAAACTATCTCAAGTTAAACCACATTTTTTTCCTGGGTTAACTTGGGGTTGTTTAACCCACCAACAACCCCAATTGGCCTATTTCAGGTATTATGGAAACAGCCTACATATACACTGTGCATGGACTGCTGATAGAAATCAAAACAGCTTGTAAACATCCCAACAACTCAAGCATTGATGAGCTCATAAACTGCCACCAAAGATAACGATTTTGCCCAAACAGTGCCACTGTTGCTTGCAGTTTGGAATCTTGTCCTCATAAACAGAGTTGGACAGATAAAAAAAGAATATGGCATTTCCTCTCCAAAACCATAAGAGGGCACCAGTGTCTAGTAAACCATCAAATAAACAGTAAGCAAGGCCTAAGTTGGCAGCAGAGCAGATTCACACTCATTCTCTCTCTCTCTCTCTCTCTCTCTCTCTCTCTCTCTCTCTCTCTCTCTCTCTCTCTCACACACACACACACACACACACACACACACACACACACACACACACACACGGAAGCAGAATGCTGCCTTTGCTGCTAGGGCTGAATTAAAACTGGAAGCACACAGTCCTACAAAAGGATATTTTAGAGTGAGTCCATCACCTCGGTGTTCTGTGTGAGGAGACCATGGGAAGACCAAGTGGCTTCCCACCCCCTGCCATTATCACAAGCCATTTGGGGCTCACCACAGCCATTTTTCACTTTATCTTTTCTTTTCTGGAAGATTATGACAACCAGCTTTTGCAATCCCTGTTTTGACAGATCCTGACATTCCCTTTAAAGTGTGTAAGTGACACCTTGAAGGGCTGTCAGTAGTTACTCAACTACTAAAAAAATGTTTTTGCACCCCACAAGGTTCACAAATATTTACAAATGCTAATACATTTTTTGGCCCACTTGCACAAATGTGGACAGCTGCATTTGCAAGGGTGCAGGAATGGGAAACCTCATGTGGGCCATGTGCAGGGGGTTACCTTTTGGCAATCCCCTACTACCACATGGCAGCAGGTAGCCACCCTGGGCATTGTCCCAGAGAGGCCACAGGTAAGTTTATTTTCCCGTTTTGATTCCACCTGACAGATGTCTAAAGGTGAGCTATCGAATGTACACAAGGTGCAAGGGATATTAGTTGACAAACAGGGAGCGGTGCCTTGTTCATCCCCTTGGCAGCACGATTCTTATTCTTTTCTACTGGGAACCACTTTGGCGTCCTATGAGTGTGGTGGATTCTCTGTGCTCAGGAACATGCAAAAGTGTGAATGACTGCATTTATGGGAATAGTTACTTTTGACAGCTGTCAGTGTGAAAGCTGGTGTGGTGCAGTGGCTAAGACTGCAAGACTGGGGATACGGCAATCTGGATTCTAGTCCCCCCCACAGGCATGGAACTCACTGGGTAGCTTTGGCTCAGCCACAGTCTCTCAGCCCAGCGTACCTCACTGGGTTGTTGTGAGGATGAGCTTGAGAGAAGAATCATGTAAGCCACCCTGAGTTCCTTGGAAGGAAAAAAGACAGGATATAAATATAAGTAATAAATCAGAACTCTGTTTTTAGTGGGGTTTTTAAAAGTTTAACATTTCTATTCTTAGCAGTAACAGATACAGGTATAGCCAGTCTATATACCTGTATAGTTTGTTTCCTACAAAAAAAAAAAATAACCCCTTCTAAATCCCACTTTAAAAACGGAACTTCATTTTGGAGTTTTGGCACTCCTAGGGCAGGTGGCACTGGCACTTTCCCTGGAGCTACTTGGCAAGGGCAGTAAAAGGTTCTTGACATAGTTTGTTGTCCATGAATAGCCATCCTGCAGGAATCAGTACCAATTCACATGATTTGACACATGACGTGTCATGCTGTACAAGCCCAGCCACAGAATCACTCCCCCGCCGCCCCCCCATGGAGTCTTACTAGAAAGAGGCAAAAATCAGAGCAGTGAATCATGCAGAGATATAGCTCTGAATTCATGGAACTCAGTTACATCTTTTAGCATATTTGGAAATATTCTTCTAACATGGTGGTATTAGGTGCACTCTGACATTAGCAAACAAGTAGCATTTACCACCCTTTAATTATTCGATTTTCATATCACTCCAAAGAGATACACGGTTAGTCTATTAGTTCTATTCTATCAACAGCTTTAGGTGGAATAACCCAGAAAGATGCTGATCAGCCTGGTTCTATCCATAGAAACAGAGTGAGTCAGAAGGGGTCTCCTGGGCCATCTAGTCTGACCCCCGGCTCCAGCTGGCTCTGCACACGATAGGCACACCATGTGCATGTCTAGCTTATCCTTGAACACCGTCACTGATGGGGCCTCAGCCACCTCCCATGGAAGCCCATTCCATACCCTCAGGGTCCTAACTGTCAGGAAGTGCTTCCTGGCATTTAAACTGAACCTTGGTTCCTTGAGCTTCGCTCCACTAAAGCTCAGTGTAATCCTCATGGACAGTGCCCTCAAGGAAGTTGAACAGAAACAACCAAGAGCTTGGTGCCAAGAATGTGCCAGGCTGGCCATTCAGCATTACACAAGATCGGCTCCATCTGTTGCAACAGCTATACATTCTGCAGTGCCCTTCCAGGTTTCTAGCCCAGAAGCTCCCAGAGCTTGCCTCATTTATTGCCAAGTGTGAGGGAAAGCAACAGGCTTCAAAGGTGATCCCAACGCTTCCAGTTCTACGTCAGGGAAAGCCTTCCTTCAGGAATACGCTGTGAGTTTGGCATGGGTTGTTTGGGCACCTAGTCCTATACAGAAAGGCATGCCTGAACCTTCATTCTGTGCCTAAGCATTCTCTTTCAAATGGTGAAATAAAGACAAACAAACATGCACCTTCCTGGATGGGTTAAACTCACTGTATTTGAAAACATTTAGAACCCTAACCACGTGGATTAAACAGAAACTGACCCAATGGATCTCCTCAGAAAGGAGGATTTAGGCCTAAGCAGGACACACCTGAAGGCTTTGCTCTGCTTCCTCCAAGGCCTTCCCCACAGTCTCCAGACTGCTCTCCAGCTGGACACTCTGCTTGGCCTTTATTTCTAGATCTCTTCTCATTTTCACTGCCATCTCCTCTAGTTCAGCAGGGCTCTGGGCAGGGGCTTCCTTTGCCCTCTTGGCCCTCTCAGAAATTTCCCACTGGATCTCTCTCTCCAAGGCCTCCGTTTTTGCTGCAAGCTCATGGATTTTGTGTGTGTACTCCTCCATGGTGGCCCGCAGACTGCACACCTTTTCCTGCCGCTCCTTTTCATACTCCTTTTCCAAGCGCAGCTCATTCTGCCAAAACTCTTCCTCACTCAGCTCATTCTCATTTTGCCGGATCAGCTGTTCCAGATACAGGACCTCATCCTCCTGGCAGACACCTCTGCCATATTCCCAGTGCCTGATGTCCATTTCCAAGGCATCCCCCTGCATCTCCAGGGAGTGCAGATGCTCCTGTTGGTGCAGGACAGTCTTGAATAAATCCTCTTTGGAAAGCAACCCCCCACTAGCCCCGTCCCACAAGCCCACAGCATCCTTTCTGTGTTGCCTCAGCTTGTTCTTTGCAAGCAGCTCCTTGGAGCCCGTAGCACCCAAGTTGAAGGTTAAGGATTTTTTGGGCTGCCTCGGTCTGGGCACTTCCGTGCTGACTGGCCGAGGCTTGATGGGCAGGCTAGCCCTGACAAACGTCCTCTCAGGCACCTGCAGGGCATTATCCGAGGAAGGCCTCTCTGTGAGGCTGGGGCCCGTGCGCTGCAATATAAACTGCACATCGTTGGCGTACTGTCCACACTTGGCCAGTGACTCCACAGGGCATTCATGTGGGAGAAGCTGCCTCTCCTTCTCACGGAGTCTTTGGATGAGAACATACCGACCTGTTTGACCTGAAAAGGAGGAGCAGACAGACATTAGTGCAGAAAGGATTCCATCTCTACCTAATTCCCCCTGCAGGCTGCACCTAAGTTCTACCACACAGCAATATCCCTCTCACACGCACAAGCAATTACATTTAAAACAGAACACTTTTTGGAGCTATGAGTCACTCCTGAAAAGAAACAGATCAGCCTGTCAACAGTTAAGGACAAGGCAGTCTGGCCAATGACCCTCCACGTAACCCCAGTTCCTTCCTTACTTGGGACACAGACTTCTATGCTGCATTGAGCAACGTGGCCATCACCCTCACGGAGAACCAGGATTTAGGCTGGAAACGCTGACCCTCAGAAGCAGGTGCAATTTGGAAGGTGTGCTTGGGCATTTGTGGCAGCATCTCTACTTATCTCAAGCCTGAATGTGACCTTCCATGGTTCCTTCTTACACATATGCCTCAATTACTACTGCCAGGAAAGTACATGGGAAGCATTTCCATGCAAACGCAACTGAAGATTCTCATTTTCACTTGTATCCTAAGCTAGAATTTGCACATGACACAGGCTATCAGTGTGCTTGTGCAAGCATTGGGTTGCTGAAACAACAGATCCTTTTGGACATGGTGGAAATGTCGACAGACACAGCCATGTACCACAACATGTGCAAACTGTTCCTGTGGCCAAAGATCTAGTGGAACATGAGGAACTTCATTAATCCTCTCTTTTTGTGGGATGGGAATCCACCACCGAGGGGCAGTCACATCTGCTTAAAAAACCCCAAACTAGAAATACTCATCTTTGTACACTGGAATATTGCACCCCTCTCCACTTCACAACAAAATTCCCAACTAAAACATTTCCAACGCTACACAAATACACACAAAACACAGTATCAAGAATGTCTAACAAAAACACATTTCAGATTTCATTAATGTATTTTCTGCCTGCAGTTATCAGGACCATTTTGATGTAGGAACCCAAACCCTTTTAGGCAAAATTATCATTAGCAAGATTTGTGTGAGCTAGCAGCCCCAATAACTTCTAGCAGTGAGTCAGTAAGCTTCCAGCCCACAAGGCTTTTTGCCTTAGAAGTCCCGATGATCCCTTACCAACTCAGAGTATTCATGTAAGCAGTAACAGAAGCCCTTTCTTGCTCAGTCAGGACAGAAGTACCCCTAAATCCAGTTAGAGGGCAGAAGCAGATGTTAAAGCAAGGTTTGCTTGCCATCACAGAGTATTTCTGAATCACAAGACAGAATAACCCTTCTCTGTTAGCCTCAAGCGACGCGATTGGCACTGATGTGCCATATAATAGTTAAATGCAGAAAAGCGCACGCACATAGAATTTATGACTCATGCTTGTTTGCTGCAGATGTGGGGCTCTGAGCACAGGAAAGCAGCATGCTCTTTGCAACAGGGAGGTGGCGAGCAATACTCAAGGCTGTTGTGCAGAACAGTGTACTTGGGCTTAATGAGCAAATAGCAAATCCGCCGAACAACCATATTAGTGCATTACTTGTGTTCAACTCAGGCCAGCAGGTTATGTGTATTTTAAGCTGCTTCTTTCCCCCTAGACCGTAGGGGACCTCAAAGAAGATAAAAGAGAATATTCTCCTTTTCACAAGGAGAAAGCCATCAATAATGAGGAAGGCAGGGAATAGGACAGAGGACCACAACTTCTAGCCTATCTTATTAGCTAGCCAATATGTCTTCTTGCTGGAGGCACTATGCTCCCCACCTCCGCTTCTGCATGTGCAGAAAACTTCAGGAAAAGATGGAAATTTCTCTCGTTTGCACGCTGTCGAGGATATGTGTGGCTGGGAACCCACCACAGGTCTACACCCAGCAGGGGCACACTGGCAAGAGCCCCCCGGAGTTCTCTTCAACATGGGAACCTGCTTATTCACCTGCCTCTCACTCTGGCCCAGACAAGGTGGCGGTGAAAAGAAGGAGCAGGAAGCTCCTGTAGGGATTGGGCCTACTTCCCCCAAAATATAGCATTCCACACTAGAAAGCTCAGATTTTGAAGGTAAGCTAGAAGAAGAGGAGGAGGGGTTGGAATGCATTACTGAAATGGTGAGGTTAAGCAGCAAGATAGCCAAGCAGTGGGTGAGAATCAGTCTTTCTCTGGTTCAGAGGGAGACATTGTAGAACAAGGAAGGTCAGGGAGTTCATCAACTCAGTGATTCAACATCAAGCCAAATCAGAGGAACAATTACGTAAAGTCCACTGGGTGGCCGACAAGCAGCATGGACCTCCCTGAGGGAGGAATCAGTCCTTTGTGGAAGAGAAGGGAGGGGGAGGATTTGGTTTGGAGGCAACTTCTGACATGAGCACAAGCTAACTCCACCACTACTTTGATAGAGGCTACTTATTAATAACTTTATTATTACTTGATATGTAACACAAAGCCATACCAACTGACTATCTAAAGCAACAGAGGTCTGTATTTTAGAAGGCTTTTGCTTTGATTTGCTGGAAAAGGAAAAAGGGAGAGATGGGCTCATAACACTGCCTATGTTGGGAAGGAAAGAGGCAGCTGTTCTTGGCATGTATTTCAGGGCCAGGGTGCCATCAGGTGAGGAGGATGAGGCCTGGAAAAGGAGGCCTCCTGACAGAGAGATGGAAGAGGCAGAAGAGCTTATTTCCAGGCCACTGTCTCCTGAGAACTGCCAGTCTGCAATTGCTGGGAGAGGAGCCGCAGGAGCCAGGTGAGCCTGGTATGAACCTTGACCACATGATGTGGCACCAGAAAAAAGGGCTAGGCAACTAGAAGGGCTGTGTACAGCCTGGAGGCTTGCCTGTCTCCAGAGGGATGTTCCCAGGGAGCTCAGGATTACTCAAAGGGAGGGTTCTCGGAAGTAGTTTCTAGTAGGGGCTCAATGAACTGCTCTGTGCATGCTCAGAGACTCTTTCTTTGCTGACTACAGTTTGCTGGATGTCCACTGGAAATAAAGAGGTTTTGCCAAAGAATGGCCTGTCATTTTGAAAGCGAGAAGACAGAAACCTAGCTCCCAACAACTTACTTGGCTCTCTGCCAAGCAAGCAGCAATAGCAATGATGAGTAAGCGGATGAGGGGCAACAGCAGCTGGTGATCAGGGCAGTGGGCAGGCAGACTCCTGGATGGGGGCATGCAGGATGTCTTGCTGACTGACCCTGAAAAACCTGGAGCTGGCAATGGATTGCAGTATGGAGAAGATAAGAAAGAGTAGATTTCTGATGTTGTTCCTCACCTTCTCCAAACCGCAGCAAAAGAGAGCTACTGTTGGGGTGTTTATCACTGGTGGCACTTGTACCTGGCAAACAAGATTTTTGTTTGCACTTACCTGTAACCTCTGAATCTGCCTTTGGTTACCGGCTGGGCCTGTCTCACAGTGAAGAATTAAATTTCATAATTTATTATTTACATGCAGCAGAAGGCAATGTTGTGTGTGGAGGAGAGGCAGTACAGAGTAGGGGAGAGAATTGTAGACTGAACATTTTGAGTTCGGATTAGACTGCTTGTTACAAAAAAGCACTAGCTTTCCAACCCCTTGTTTCCCATTTACAGCATGTTTGGGGCAGGGAAAGCATCTGCACAGAAGAATCCCTGCGTCATGCCCTCCTGCAAGTGCCAACTGGGCCCTGTTTGGCTGTTTTCCCCTTAAGCTGTTTAGGAAGGATTGGAAGGGAAGGCTCAGTAGGCGAACAGTGGCATCTTCCCTTCTCATTTAGTTCACCCCACAAATACAACCTCGATCCCTCCTTGCTTACACGGAACAGGGATATAAAATTCACAACTGTGAATCAAGCACCACCCCGACAATACATTTTTAAGTCTGAAATATGGGCAATTTCCCTGCAATATACCATATGCTTACTTGGGAAAAAATCACATTTACCTCAGTGAAGCTTGCTTCTGAAGAAATATTCATTTCATTTCATTCATTAAATTTCTATACTGAACACCTGGCAAATGCTGATAAATTGCGTAGTGATTGATTCCTTACCAATGGCACGTGCCAATGCTATGACAACCTCCTGGCAGGTGGTCTGATCCGAGACGCCACATACAACCCGCTGAACACCATCCACCCAGACCTTCAGCTCCATCACCAAAGCAGCAGCAGATTAGGCTCTCCAGATCATCGCCGGGAGTCTTGCCTGCAGAGGTGTTTTAAAGAAACATACATTGAAGTGTGCTGATTTCATTCTCACATAGGTTTTCTTGCCTCCGACTATGACAAGGGGAAAAATGTCAATGGACTAAAATTGAGGGAACTTCTACCTTCCTCTTCCTACCCCTCCAATTTCCACTCCATTTGCTCCAACATGGAGTTCAAGGTTTACTTTTAGCTGAAGCATCATGCTCAAATGGGAATGAACATCATATATCCCCTTTGCCCCTTCAGTTTCATAAATTATAGAATGTACACAGAACAGTTCACTACTCTGAAATGGCTTGTAATTGTGTCCCACTGGCCAGGAATTTCAAAAACATAGAAACAGAGCAAGTCAGAAGGGGTCCCCCGAGTCATCAAGTCTGACCCCTGGCTCCAGCCGGCTCTGCTTATGGCATGCCTACCAGTGTATTTACTGGATGCAACCAAATATAATGATCCTGTCTCTGTTTTCGCTTTATTTCTGAAAGACAGATTGAACTGGGTAGCATAAATCAAATAAGAGTCACGGGAGTTTTAAGGCATAGTTCTGTTTCATAACCACTCACCCACTGCGGTAATGAGCACAATGCACTGGTGCAGTATAGCCAACCAGCATGAGAGAGCTCCAATGAGATCAGAGACGGTGCTTTATTTAAGAGACTCTACTGGCCAGAAAAAAGGTGGACCTGTCTGAGAACTTGCAAAGAACCAAAAATGCATCTAGCAAATTTAATTTCTATTTGCTGTTGGTGGATATGCAGGTCGACAAAGTTTGCAATCGCATGGCAAATGCTGCGGCCCAGTGATGGCAAGTCATCAAATGTGCAGCATATAAAACACTGATGTCATAGGAAGTGAATCATACAGACAATAAATAAATATTTGCATTAGGCTACATGCCACACATGGTTAAAAACAGGTTCCTGGGCAGAGGCTGAATGATTAACTAGCTAAGTGATTAGTGAAAATTGTTGGGCTCTTTTCAGTTTTCTTCCAAAAGTTGTCTGATTGAAATGGTATGCTACAGACACGATAAACAGCTTTTGCTTTTTTCCTACATTACATGGTCAACAATAGCACATTCCTTTTCAGACTTGATTTAAAAATTATTGGTGGGTGGAAATGTATCTCCAAGTCTCCCTGGTCTCTTTCTCCCGATGCTTAATTGCACACTACCAGCTTTAAGAACACCACTGGCAATACTTCAACAGTTCAAGAATTCTGAAGGTCAAATATTGAATAATGTTAATCTGGTGTGAATCAGCCACCTATCAAAACCATGTTGAGACTTCCTGCCTGGATTTCAGACTGTTGGAATCACACCCCCCTTTGACAGACCATGCCACACCTGAAAAATGTTCTTTCCTTCCAGCCAGAGTAAAGTGCAAAAGAACATCACCCCCCAAAAAAGGAAAATGAATGTACAACACACACAAGCTTTATCATGCCAAAGAGTATGTTGGCTTTGACATTGTTTGTTGTGCATTCCAGATTTTTACTTCCACACCCAAGATTTGGGCTCTGGTCTCTGGTCTCTATATAATGTAAACAGACAAACATTAACCACTTAAAGCTGTTGCACAAGAAAATAGAAGAGCACAAGCATAGTTAGAAATATGTACTAAGAAAACACTGGTGTATGTATACAACAGACTGCTTTCTGCTGTGATAAAAGAAGCAATGTACTGAAATAATTTTTCCATCAATTTTTTTCAGGAACATGGTAAGATCCTGACAAGACCAATTAAGTACATACACTTTTCTAATTTGTTAGAAGAGAGAAAAAACCCAGACTCATTATGAACCTGCCCAGGTATTAGAATTTGCAGGAAGTTCTTTTGAGGGAGTCATTAGTTGTAGAGGGTTATTTGTTGAACATGTGTGAAAGGGCACATGCGGGATGCATACATTCAAAAACTTAGCCTTTTAATTTATGCAGTTCATGTTTTTACGGTTTCTAAGGTTCTCACTTTCTTGTATTGTTTTACATTGTTCTGCACTGGTTTGATAGTCAATACAGCACTACTTAATAGTAATACATCATAGTAATAATACAGGCTGTTTCCTAGGTATCCTTGTTCCTCCAAGAAGGTTTCATTTCCTATACTGTACAAAGACCAAGAAGATTAAGCTAGGAAATGCGGGAACAGAGGAAACAACCTTAGCCTGAGTCAGCCCCTTGGGCCATCTAGCCCCGTATGGTTGCTGGTGCCATGTCGACGCTCCACTATGGCAGCTAGCCACCACAGAAGTCAAATAAAGAGACACTGAAGAGGAAAAACTCTTATTCCACATTCCATCTGAACAAGTGTATGCCTGGATTTGTTCTGAGGAGCACAAGTGTTGCATGAGTATTGAGTGGGAGGTGGATCAGCTCAGAGGAAGCACCCTGTTTCTAAAGGATCTGGATTTGAAATGTACCACTGGTGCAATTGCCCAGGGCATTAAGACCTGACTGAGAAGGTTGCAGAGGACTTGCCTGCAGCCCAGAAGAGCTGAGGTCAGAGTCCTGATTCCCAGAAACAGACAAGCAGAAACTTGTTTGTACTGACTTAGGAAGCAAGAAGTTTCTTTGACCTGAAGTCCCTCAGCTTAGTTCCTCCAATCGTTTGCCAGGCTAACTGCTCCTCCTGATCTAAAAAAGAAAAAGCATTATAATAAAAATAACTGAAAGGCAAAGGAAATTACAGCTCTCAGTGCTATCTTCATTTCCAAGAACTAAACGAATAAGAAACTTTCCCAAAAAATACAAGGTAATACAAGGCAGAATGAGCCCCAAAGCACAAAACACTTCTCTAGGCTCCGTACATGAAATGACTATTTTGTTGTGCTTCATGGGGGCAAAAGAGTGAATTCACATTTGGGGTGCAGATGTGGTCCCTTCCTTATATTAATTTTCTCAGCCAAGAGACTTGTCTCTGAGCTTTATCTGTTTGCTTTCATTGAAATAGAGCTGCTTTCAGGCACATGGTACCTATGACTGGCCACACCAACCAAGGCATTTTATGAGTACCTATGACATATTCTCAACATTTCACACATGTCCCCTGGCCAAAAGTTTGGAGATTTCTGATCTGGACTCTAGGTACCAAGGAAGCATGTGATACTTAGTGTATGGGAAATTATCAAAATTCCCCTTCCCCATGCCAGAAACACATCTGGCTAAGAATTACTACTAAATGACAATTGAGGAAATGTTTTAAGCTGCTAACACATCCTTTGTCTGCCCATTTTAGAAGATTCCATGCTCATTTAGGGGGCAATCATATGGTCCCCGAGAGAGCATTCCAGGGACAACAGGATTGCTTGCAACAGCCTTTCAAGGTTGGAAACAGTGATCCATCTTCAGAAGGAAGGGGGTAAACAGGCTCTAGTAAGACTTCTAAGAGGGCAGATCTCTGAGGTTGGAAAATCAGAGGCCAAGGGATGAGCAATCCTGAGGCCTCATAATCCTTTTTTGAAGGGCTGCTGCTAGATGGACAAAAAACCCACCTAGCAAAATGCAGGGTGGGAGGACAAGGAGCTGCTACCACTTCCTCCCCATTCTGGATGGTCAGAAGCCTGAGAATTTGGGGGCTTTTGATCATCTGGGAACAACTGATAGGATTGCATCCTTAATCAACTAAAGGTCTACTTTCAAAATCATTATTTTGACTGTCCAGTAAAAATGAGTAAGACTAGCAGAAAACTACCTTATGAACCAGACAGTCCCTCACTCAACTGGATTTAGAATTGAACTTCATCTAGTTCAGAATGACTCTCTAAGCACTTTTAATAACTCAGTTTAATACCATGTAAATCCTACTAGTCTGGACAATTCTCAACCCATAGTAAGTAGAGCAAATGTCTTATGGTACTCACAGAGTTGAAAAAATGTTGCAACGGTATGTATGTAATGCCATATAGAGATCCTGATTGGATATAGGGCAGGATATAAACATTGTAAACAAACAAACAAATGCCAAGATTACTTGCTTAAGTGCTGGTAATTTGCCACTGTTACAGCCACCTGTTGGGAAGGAAGAGAACCAGATTTGTTTTCCTTCAGCAACAGTTTAATGCAGTGAGTGAAAGTTATGGCTTCTCAAAAAAGAATGAAAACTTAAATTTGCCCACATTCAAATTGGCAAAAACATTGCTTAAGAATTTCAAGCAATGCATGAAGCAAGGCAGACATGCCTCAGTGCATTTTCTACAGATATGTCAGCTAAATATTTCAGGCACATGTACACGTGTGTGTGTGTGAGGGAGAGGGAGAGGGAGGGAGGATGTACTGCTTAGACTAAGTAGCTATGGACAGAAAAAGCTGCAGTACTGTTAAAATATAATGTTATTGAAAGAATCTCCTTGGTAAACCAATCTCTTTCAATTACAGCAATCTCTCAAGCATCGCCAAATAGAGGACAAAAGCAGACAGATTTGCAAATACTAATTCATATGTCTAGCTATACATTTAGGAAATAGTTCTTACAATGTAAAGACAAATACAGTTACATCTCACCATAGCAAGGGGTACGAGTCTGCAGGCCCGTTCATTCGGTTAACTTTCCATGGCCACTTCAAGGCCCTCCCCCTTCTCATGATTCTTCAAACCAGACTTGGCTTGAATAACCCTTCATATAAGAGGCTTGTCCAGTGTAACGTAGGGCACATAGCACCACACCTCCTAGCATTTTTTAGATAAGAACAGGGACACACCTGTATAGTAGAGGGCAGGCCTACGAGCAAAGTCCAGCAGCCCGGCAGGCAAATGGTGGGAGCAGACCCTATAAGCAAGATGCCGATGTGACACAGGCAAGGCGCTCTGGGTGACAAGATGGGTGAGGCAAGCATGCAAGACAAGGAAAAACACCAATCATGCATCAAGATGCACTCTGCTGCTTACATGCCACTTCATGGCCCATTTTAGCTGAGATGAGCAAGTGACTCCCTGAAGATCAGTCACTGACTCCATGGCAGAGTGTTCCTCGGCCCAGTAAGCAGCGAGAGAAGCAACGCCAGTGGGGATGCCTTCATCGGAGCAGCTGTAGCCTCTTCCACACCCTCTGTACCATTGCTTATCATTATGGAAAACTTTCCAACCTCCCTTAATTTGTGCTTCGCTTCCACCGGACTCAGGAAAGGAGTGCTTTTGATTCCAGGGCTTAGTCCTAGAATATGGGAAGGGAAGAGTCTCTGAGCATCCACTGAGAGCTTTCCCTCCCCTCCCCCTAAACACTAAGAACACAAAAATGGGTTGATGTCAAGCAATTTTGCAAAGGTTTTCAGCAGGAGGACTGAATGGAGTCCTTTCCATGTGCATGCGTGTGTGCATGCATGCATGCGATCCCAGTGTCTTGTGTTCCCCCATCCCTTCCAATTTCCATAATTCTAGCAGTCCAATTCACAAAATAAATCTCTTTAAAGCCAAATCAACCAAGACTTTACCAGCAGAGGTGAAGAGGACACTGTTTCATTGTTTAATGCTAATCCTTGAAAGATCCAGTTTATCTACTTTTTATTACATGTTGACATAGTTAAACTTAACCTTTTGAGCTGAAGTGGGATCTCCCAATAGATTAAGGGAATGGGGTGGAGGGCTGAGCCATATTTTTGGCCAAACCCTTCCTGCCTTCCCCATCACCCCCCACAGTCCATCCCTGGAAACTTCAGAGCCTGTTCTAACTACTTCTCTGTCATTTAACTTTCAATACTGTCTCCTATACTCTCACCTCTTCTATGTGTCCACATTTCCCAGTCTCAGTAGGCCAGGGGAAGCATAAAGTACTAGTAAATAACAATGTACATCCTATTGCATTTAGCACTCTGATTTTGGAAGGAAAGATGGATTGACATTTGCATTTAACGTTATATTCTAAACCTCTTTATTCACTTGCATCCATGAGAACTTCAAAAAGGAAGTGGAGAGATTAATTATATTTTTTCAACAAGAACATTTTAGCCACTAAAGGAAATTTCTATCCAACTGAATTGAACTTTAGGAAGGGCAAGCAATCTACATTTGTATTTTGGAAGAAGACAATTTCTTCCTTGAAATTGAAACTAGGAAGCAATACAAATGCTGTTACAATTGAGTCTGTTCCACAAACAGATGTTAACTGAGAAAGATTTCAGTTAGTTATACTGAATAGATATTGTCCGGTCTTGCTATATGCTCTGCTTTAAATATTGGGTTGAACACAGGGCCCAATTTCTGTCAGAGGAAAAGTCCTCCTGTGAGAGGATAGGCTGCTCTCATGGAAGGTCCCTCTGCAAAATTTTGGGGATCTCTTTTCCTTCTAATTTTCCATGTAGCCTATTCAGAGGGCTCTGGAGGGGCTGCTGTGCAGACAGAGACAGGAAAGCCTAATGCCAATGCAGTCCATTCTGCTTAAATCTGGACCCAACCCATTGGAAGTAAATTCAGCTAATATTAAGTGCTTGCATTCTAGAATCAAATATCAAACTGATAAAGTGAAAGTATATGTACAGTACATTCACGTACTGCATCATTCATGATGGTGTGTCAAAAGCTTGTCCTGTGTGTGTGGGTGGGATACACACAACTGATTCAGCATGGATGGAGGAGACTGAAGGGGACTTTTCACACCTCCCAAAGGCTGGTGAGAGACAGCCTGGTAAAGAATCCCAGTCAACAAACTTTTAAAAAACTAGCCTAGTTGTTTAAAAATATAATATTTGCAACTGCTTTTTCCCTTGGCAAAGATGAGAAGGAGATAGATTATGGTGGATAGAGATGATTTTTTTCCTACAGTCTTAAAAGTTTTTCAGTTGTGATGTCTAGTTATTGTATTAACCAATGTGCTACAAAAATTGGTGATTCACGTTTGAATCAGCATGTGTCATGGCAGTTTGCTTTTTGTAAAACTCAAGTCCTACTCTTATTTTTTGTTTCTGATTTTTGTTTTTAGGCTCCTCCAATACTGAAGGAGTTTTAGGTCATTGATAATCAGGTTGCCATTTTCCGTACCCTTTCCAGAATGAGTTTTAGGATTTATGGTGGAAGTGCACCAGTTCTCATTGGACTGGACTAGATGGCTCCTGCTTCACAGGTAGAAAACTAACTCTTGATTATCCCAAAGCACAGGTAAGGCCCTCCAGAAGGCTGTGTAGAAAAAACTGCTAGATCCTTGAAAATGTTGGCTTTGCATACTCTTTAATTCATGGGAATTAGCAAACAACATGTGAAATTAGAGGAAAAGGCACCCAACTTATTCACTTGCAGACTTCCTAAGCAAGATAGACAACTTGTGATTGTTGAGAAAAGCTAGCATTGTTAGCAAAATGGCCCAGCCTAAAACCTATTCCTATAGGAAGAATGAGGAATGTGCCAAAATCACACCACTCAAAGTTTAAGACTTCCTGAAGGAGACTTAAAAGCTGCCTCTTGTTGCATTAGGGATTGGCATCACTGGCGCCAGTTGTTATAAGGGTGACATTATACTAAGTGGAGGCTTTCAGGTGCTGTAATTTAGATTTGGCTGTAAATCCTGACATGCCTAACTTGGTGATTCTGCTTATTTTTGTTTGCAGATGAGGTCTAAATGCATAGATGAAAAGAGCCACTTCCTTAGAGAAATAAATTAATAGGCAACTGGAGGAGTGGACAAACATGTACCAAGATTCTGCAAAAGTTTTCAGGATCCAACCGTACATTAATAAATATGAAGAGGAAAGTGGTATTGGCAGTAGCTCAACTAAGTGTCAGTAATAAATACTGCAATTCAATTAAGCCATTTTGCATTTTCCTACCTATTAGTTTCTAAACTGCAGTCACTAGAAAGCGTGTGTTGGAGGGAGTGGTTGTCATTTCACTGTATGAACATCACACAAGCAGAGGAAACTTTCAGTCTTTAACCACACTCATCAGCTACAGTCTCCAATTTCTTTGTACACTGTCCCCTTTTTGGCCCTGCTTCGTATCAGGATTCAGGCACTGTAGTAACTCAATGTATAGCTCTACCTCCATAGATGGGAAGGGAGGAGAGAAATGACAGCAGGTAAAAAGTAAATACTTTTTCTCCTAGTTGCAAACCAGCCATGCCATTCTCCAGAAAGGGTCCTTTCTCTCTGAAGGTAATAGTGAAGAAGAATCCAAATTAAGGGTCCCCCTGAAATATAATGTGTGTCAAACTACATAATGTGGTACTCTCCAACCAATTATTTCCTGCTTTTTTAAATGTGAAAGTACAGCATTAGAGCAACGCACTGGTGCTCTAACAACATATTGTTATGGATTCCATAGTAGGAGCAGAGCCATTCTTCACAGTAACTTCAAAATGTTTGACAAGCAAAGGGAACACAATGAAACATGATTGGCAAGGCATGAGATTTTGCTGCACCCTTGCTTCAGATATTTTAAAGAAACCTAGCTTTCATTTATAAGGGCTGGGAAGGAAACCTGTGGCCTTTCAGATGATGTTGGACTATAACTCCCATCATACCTGACCACTGACTGAGACTGATGAGAGTTGGAGTCCAACAAAAACAGGTTTCCCACTTGAGTGATATCATTAAACAAATGCATAAAATGCTATTAAGAGCTCCTTTTGCTTCCATGCCCCTCAAATACCTGATGGTACTTTCTCATTCCATACACCAATGTCTTATATCCCCTTCCATGAACCCCCAGCTTAGCCTGGAGCAGGCAAAATCCAGCCTTATCTAGGAGACCACACAACCACTTGGTGGATCTCCCCAAGTCTGCATCCAGCCCACCTCCACAGTGGGTAGAAAGGAGGAGGTGGGCATCAACTAGTAAGCAATAATAATCTCTATCTTCTGTTTCACTGTCAAAACAGACCTTTTTGATGAATTTTATACTATGCGCCAATCCTATCTGCCTTACTTTATGATCGAAGTAAAGCATACAAAAAGCTTTTAAAAGCTGCACATGATGCTCCAGAAATAAGGAGAAACTTGTCGGGTAAAGAAAATTGCAATTCCATCTCAAAGTAAAAAGTTGAATCCATCTCAAATGAAATTAGTCCTATTTCAAGAAGAAGAAAGAGCAAGAAGAGGAGGAGGAGGAGAAAACTACCCACAGGCAACAAGATTCAGGTCTAGCATCCAAAGGAAGGCATGGAGATATATGTTCCCTGCTAATTCAAAACGGGAGCACCCACTGAAAAATAGCCAGTTACAAAGCCAATGGTACTAATTCTTTCTTTGCCTGGGTAATCGAGATCTCCCAAGGATGTGATATTTTCAGATACACAGGTATGAATAATCTAATGTGTTCAGGTCAGCACAATTACCATGGTTTCCTTCATGTTGCAAGGCAGAATATCTTGCATCAAGGATGCCAAGAAAACATCCACTTGTACACTTGTTAAACGCCCAGCTTTTATAAGGCACCAGCTGAAGAAGCATGTAGGTGTGAGTAAGGGCAGCTCTCTTTTGGGGGCCCACAGTCAAAATACAGAATGGTCTTCAACTCCACAGCCTGGCAGTAGGCACCAAGACTCCTTTTGCCACAACACAAAGACGTGTGGGGGTTTTCCCCCTCCACAGTGGGAGAGAATTTCATGAACTGTGTGTATATCACCTGCTTCTCCATAAAGCTGATGCAGCCGCATTCCAGACCAGCCCTCAGGCTGGGCACTATGTCCAGACGGTGAACGGCAGTTGTCAGACACAGCAGCCTTTGACATCCATAATGGCACTCTGCTCTGGGACCACAAATTTAAACAGTCCAATTCATGCTAGGCAGACTTAATTGCAACCGTGTGAGCATGAATTGAAAAACTGTATAGCCAGTTGTTTCTTCACCCAGAAACAGAACCTGCAGCAAGAGTCAATCTAAACGCTGTATGCTCTTAGGTTAACAGGACTGGAAGTAAACAGGACTTGAAGTAATCCCATGCCGGCACACAGACCTAGAGATATAGCACTTTTGTGCAGTTGTAATTCTGTGGGGCTACTCAGACAAATGAAGCTGCACTGTGTTTAGACTATGTTCCTTCATTTTCATGGGGCTTTTAAAAAGAATGCAGACTTTTCGGAAAAGCAACACGTAAGCACACAAGGATGCCAGCCAGGAACCCAGGCCCCTAGCACATCACTACAAGCCAAATAAAGTTTAAAAATACATAGTATTCACCTCATCCTAAGATCTGGCAGTTTCCTCCAGCTCAGCATTAGCAACCTAGCTCTCATTTTTGTTGCTGGACATTCTGCTGTGCTATCCATGCTACAGAGTTGTGCAGTTAGCTGGAAAGCACAAAAAGCCATTTTCAAAAATTTTTGGTCCAGTTCAGAAGCAGCATTCCCTCTGTATGACAGCCTTGCCTATTATCTCCTGCAAGTTTTCCTTCCTTTCCATGGTTTGCCATGGCTCATATTTATAACACTATGTGTGGTTGAAAGTATGGTTCCATGGCAATCCCAGTTAGCTCTAACCACAGTTCACCCCAATTTGGACCAAACACAATGTCCTATGGTTGCAGCAAATACTGGAAGGAAAGGGGAAGCAGTGTACGAGCTCATTACATGACCCTAAGCTCCAAATCAGGCTCTGAGAAAGAAGTTTCTGAATGGGACCTAAAACTGAATCAGGATTGCTTGAAGCTGAAGTCCTTTTACAAACATTTATATCCGGTGGAGTGGAATTGCACCCATCATCCTAACTCTCATCCTCTGAATGCTCAGCTACTTCTCTTCAACAAATCCTTCTTTTCATGCCTTTGGGGAATCTGCCTTTTGAAGGTTGCACATCCAAAGGCCCTGAAATGAAAAGATGCTCTATGCATGGAGCCTGGAGGCAGGGAGAGCAGAAACGATCCTGCTTCTCTGCATTAACTTATTATATGCACTTCAGTTGAGTCTGAAAAGAGCTTAACAACATAGCCATGGCAAGAAGTGGATCTGAGCACACATCTAGAGTAGTGATGCTTCGCATTTTAATACCGTGCTTCCTGAGTTGTACAAAGAACTTCACACACATTTTCCTAGCATTATTTGCAACCACCTTGCAAGGCAAGCTGTCATTAACACCTCTGTGTTCCAGACAGAGGACTGAAGATGAGAAATAGTTACTTGATTGGGGACACCTAGTGAGCACACCAGAGTTGAGTCACGTGATCACTGCTCTCTCCTGCTAAGTGGTAATTTTTCCTGCTAGACTCTTTCATAAAGCCAAATCCTACACCAGGTGATTTATAGGCATGCTGGAGAAAAATATCATGAGAAGGGAGTCTATGAATGCATGAATTCCAAGAAATGTATAACCAGATATCAGCAAGACCAGTAGGAGAAAGGAGGGTAACATTTTAATGTTTGCAGTGTAGAGAAATAGAACTCCTCACATTCTTACTGAGCTCCTATATAAGGCACAGTGTGATTTCCAAGTGTGAAAACACTGTCCTTTCCTATCCTTTTCTCACCTACACCATGCTGCTTTTCAGAGGGCTTGTTAATATGTTAGTCACAAGTTTATACAAATTGAACCACAGCAACTTAGCACGTAAGGACAATATGTACTCTTAAATGCAACACATCGCAAAGTCCTTATAATTTATTTGTGGATCCCATGAAACTAATGCTCGCAAGGCTCAACAAGCTTGCTATTAAATCCACAGAAACCACCACTGCCATTAAGAGGCATGCTGTCCTGTTCTTTGTGGTCGTGATATAACATGGTTAGCTAAAACATTTAAAAAGAATTATTATTCCTATTCCTTGTCACTTTCTTAAATAGACCAGGCATTATTGTCCCATAATAAGAGGAAAAGAGAAATTTTGGTCAGTGTCAGAGGATTTCATATTCTGAGGATGATGTAATTCCTCAAACTAAATGCAACTTGCAGAGAACAATGCAGCCAGACAGATTTTTGTTTCCTCCAGTCTGTCACCAACTAATCCAGCTTTTAATCGATCTAATCTAAGATGCACATCATGTTTTTACACAATTTGTGGCACACCCAAGTCAAGAACACCTGCATTTCCTCAAAGCAAAATAGTAAATGTAAGAGATCGTTTAGAATTTAAAAATGAGCTATCACCTTTTCCTGTTTTTAAGGGAGAAGAAAGTCAATGGTGTAAATGGCTTAGGAAAGCCTCCATTAAACAGGAAACAACACTGTTGCAAAGTACAACTGGGCTTCACAACTCAACATTTTTGTGTATTTAGATTGCAAAGTTTGTTTTGAGCACTTTGAAGGGGGAGAAATTCACTTGACTGCTGTTTTCCAGTGCTTTGCCCCAGCCAGTCATGCACCCTTAACAATCATTAACCAACATTCCTCTCTAGTACTTTCCCCAAGCACGATTTTGGAAGAGGATTGAACTATAGCTGCTTTAAGCAGTGTGCATGCAACACAATGCTTTCACTACTAATGAGTAGCAGAAGAAACAACCCTGCAACTTCAGTGGCTAGAAGTTGTTTTGTTTATAGGTACTAATGAAGCCTCTTGCTTCACAATTAGCTCCTTGCCCTCTGCACATGCACAGTGCAAGAGATGTTTTCAGATGAAGCAATAAAGATAGGTTGCCTACCTGCACCTGCAGCTCTTTCAGTGGCCATCTGTACAACTGTGAGTTCTGCGCTAGCACTGAATCTCTCAGGAAGCTTCCAGGGTGAAACTGGATAGCTGGCAGGTTCCAAGCTCTGCTGCATCCCAACCTCCCATCGCTTGCACCAGCTTCCGTCCCCCTGTCCAGCTCAAACTTCCACCCAACACAGTACTATGAAATTGTAACCAAGCAGCAATCGATACAGAATGGCCCGAGCAGTGAGGTGGCAAGGCACTGTGCAACTACAGAGATGACCATTTGCCCAGTACTGCCTATGACGAAGCTACCGCAGAAGCCGCGTGAACAGGATTTCTCAAGCCTGTGCATTCCGATGGTTTAAAGGGAGACTTGGAGACAGTAGCTGAGGCAGGACAGCAGTGCCCTTGATAGTGAGGTGAAGGTGACCTACTCGAGTACCAATGAGCGTCTAAGAACCATGCCAAAGATGGATACTGCTCCTGCGTCCATTTCTGGGATGTGCAGCCCCCAAGACACCTTGAGAAAACAGGATGGAAAGCAATAGTGATGCAGAGAGCAAGTAGGATTCCGATCACTGTGCCTGCATAAGAGCGCCTGTGGTCCTGCTGATCCAACTAACCAATATGGAAGGTGGTGGGACAGTGGAGGGAAAGCCTTTTTTCCTCTCCTGAGGTATAAGAGCCGGAGAGTGGCTGCATTACTTGACAAGGTGATTCTCTTCCAAGCACAGAAGGCAAAGGGAGTGGCTGTCCATTGGCAGCAATTTATTACTGCAAGACAAGCTCTTGAGGAGGAATGCAACCTTCTGGGCCACAGGTGTCCCAATGAAGATGCCAAAGATAATAAGCACCCTGGGTGCTGACAAGAAAACTGAGAAGAAAACCAATTGTGGGTTGTAAAAGAATGAACACTAAAACTGAAAGACTGGGAAAGGCAATAAAACAAAGTTTTGATTGTTTTTTCTACCCTGACCAGCATTTCCTAGATGTGCCCTTGGCGCTTGTCAGGAAAATGAGAGCCATGTCCCCTGAGTATGCACTTGGACGGTGAAGGCCAGCTGCCTGCTGAAACTCTACCTTATAGATATATTTCTTGCAATAGGCTCTGGGCAGGTGCAGAACCCACATTTGAAACTGCACAAAGACTACAAGTAAGACCCAATCGAGAAAGGTAGAAGAGTGAGAAAAGCAAGCAGGTACCCCGATGTCTCCTTGGTTGCTGGCCGTTATTATACAACATTAACAGCTTTCTTGTGCAATATTCTTAGTAATCAGAAGCTTTCTTTTACTGGTAAAAAATCAGCATTATTTGTTGAAAGAAGAAGAAAAACCCATCTTGCACATTCTTCTCTTGGGGCACCTCAGCAGCAAGTTTTACAGTGTTGAAAAGTATTTCCCCTTTTTATGTTTTCAATTCACTCATCCTGACTTGCTGGACTCCCTACTCAGCAAGTGGACAACAGCAAGAGGCTTGGGCAGTTGATCAGCCCTTCTTCTGAAACAAGTCCAAAGTGAGGAGAGAACAGAACCAACTAAGAAATCAGTGTAGCTTCAGTTTATGCAGAAACCTCACAGGAGAGCCAGAACTAGAGTCCTGCTACACCTAAAGAGATATCAGTCTAGGATTCAGGAGTTGGAAGCCACATACCAGTGAATTGTCCTCTTTTTGCAAAGCCCCCTGTGCTGTGGTTTTCCAAGGCTTCTCTTGTCCTGGCTTCCTTAGCAGAGAATAGGCCACAGACGGCCATACTGTGAGTCCAATTAGACTACAGGACACTGATCCATACTATGTCAGTCCATTGCTTCACCCAGCCCAGTCTTCATCAACCTGGTGTGCCTCAGAATTTTTGGACTACAACTCCTAGCATTCCTACCATTGACCATGTTCTGGCTGCTGGGAGAACTGGGGATGGGGGTACAGACTGGGGAAGACTGGTCTGGCTGTGTACTGTTTGTATTTACAGCTGTTCAGGGTTTCAGTCTTTCCCAGCCTTACCAGGATATGTTAGGGACTGTTCCCCAGAGCTTTTGAATGCAAGGCATGTACTCTATCATTGTGAACGACAGGGTTCCCTTAAAATTACCAGTAATTTTGACAGGACTCCTTTGTAAAAACAATCTCTCTGCTTTTGGTATGTCCACATAAGGAAAGCATCCCATGCGTCTGATAATTTTTTGCCTTACAGATATCTGTTCAAGGTACACCTTCTGTACAACTGTTGAAAGGCTCTGTACTGGGGCTGGTGCTTCTCGGCTTGTTCATAAATGAACTTGAGCTGGATGTGAGCAGTGAGGTGGCCAAGCTTGCCAGCAATACCACCAAATTATTTAGGGCAGTTAGAACAAAAAGAGAGACAGCAAAGAGCTCCAAGATGAGGATATGAACATTAAAATGGCAAAGCCAGTTCAATTTAAGTAAGTGAAAGAAGAATCCTAACTTCAGAGATACACGAACAAGCTGTCACTGACTGACCAGGAAAAGGATTCTAGGGATGTAGCAGACAGTGCAGTGAAAAGGTTGACCCAGAGTGCAGCTGCTGTGAAAAAGGCATGTTCCATTTAGGGATCTTTACAAAAGAAATAAAAAATAAAACTGATAATATCATGGTGTTTTTATACAAATCTATTGTGTGACTCTACTTGGAATGCTGGGCAGAGTTCTAGTCACTATACATCAAAAACAATATTGTACAGCTGAAAAAGGTGCAGAAAATGATCAAGGGGTTGAAGCAGGTCCACTGTGAAGAAAAGTTGCAACATTTTGTGCTCATTAGTTCGGAAAAAAGGTGAATGAGGAGGAGACCATGAATTATAGAAGTACAGTATATAATTATCCATGGTTTGGAGAAACTCTCTCATAATACTGAGATCCCAAGATCATCCAACACAACTGAAGAGTGGAATATTCAGACAGATAAAAGCGTTGAACACCATTCATAATTAAACTATGGAATTCACTGCCCAGATGCCTTGGAATTCCCACCTCCCTGCAGCCCAGCGGGCTGTAACCTCCGCCCAGAGACTCCTCGGTCCCTGATCCCAGACCAGACACTGGATTCAGCACACAGCGACACATGTGTTGTGGGGAAAGGATTCTATTTGAAAGGCTAACAAAGTAGGAGTGGAGGGTCTACAACCACTAAGACTCACAAGGCGCAATCACACACAAGGAAGGATGGGAAAGGAAAGGGGAATTGGAATTGGAAAGCAGCACGGACACAATTTGCAACCGATCAAAGCCCCCAAGACACCAGGCTCTGTTGGCCTCCTCAGACACAAAATAACCAAGCTTCCCTAGCCTAGCTCTAAACACAGAATACAGTATCAGACATAGTCTTCTCAAGGCAAGATAGCACAGAGATCTTCGGCAAAGCCTCTGGCAGCAAGAAGGGAACCTCCTGAAGGGGAACCCCAAGCCTTCCCAGCTCCCTTCTTTTATCTCTCTTTGTCCGTATGACATATTCCAGGTGAGGATCATTTGCTCCTGTTGCCCCCAATCTCCTGCCCTCATGGGGGGGGTGCAAATTCCCCCGTCCTTGGCTATAATTTTCATTGTGCATTCATTCCCAAGCCCTATCCAGCCCTCCCGTGGCCTGGGAGCCTGGGTTTCCTTGCAGCCTTTCCTTGTACCTTTCCTTGAAAGGTGTCAATTACCTTTCCCCTGCAGATTGGGTGTTAGGCCAGTTCATGTTACAACTACCACAACCTAACATGGCATGAAGGCTGCCAACTTAAATGGGCTTAAAAGCGGCTCAGAAAAATTCATATTTATTTAAACTTTTTTAGACCATCCCTTACCGTAATCTCAGGACGGTTTAACAATAGGACAAAACAGAATAAAACACAGCATCCTAATCAAATTCTTAACAAATCAACACTAAAACCCATATTAAAAACAGTTCAGACCTTAAAACATTGGGGAAATAAAAAGGTTTTAGCCTGGAGCTGAAAAGAATAAAGTGATGGTGCCAGGCAAACCTGGGGAATAATTCATGGGGAATAAAGTCATAAATGGCTACCAGTTGAGACAGCTATGTTATCACCTATATGAGCAGTAGTATCCCTGTGTATGCCAACTGCTAAGGAATATGAGTGAGACGGTAGTAGTGCATTCAAGTCCCACTTGTGGTTTTTCTGCTTCTCGTTGGCCATTGTAGGCACAAACTCTTTGACTAGATAGGCCTCTGGTCTGATTCAGCAGACTTTACATTCTTAAATGTAAACACTTGTACTTCAGCTGACTTCTTATTTATAGAAAGGTGTAACATTGTCCTCTGTATTGTTCTCAATTGTTCAATATTTTTTAACTTTTAGCTGGAGATGTACAAATGTTTTGGGGACCTGGCCACATCAACTGCAAACTGTCAAGCTGAGGAGTACAGGTTTTTAATTTTTTAAGCATTAGCTTTGGGTGTGGGAAAACCAAAGTTCAAATCTGCACTTAGCAGCCTTGGCCAAGTCACTATCTCTTGGCCTAATCAGCCTCCCAGGATTATAATATTACAATACTACTCTGAGTTTATTGGAGGAAGGGTGGGAATTCAAATAAAATATTTGCCTCTCCCTTCCATGCATATTACTTTGAACCAAATGATACTGTGTAAACCAAAGCAAGAACAATGTATTCAGACAAGGACCCTTTTCCTTATTTATATTATATTATATTATATTAATTGATTTCTATACCATCCAACAACCAGAAGTCTCTGGGCATTTATTACAGTGTACTTGGAATGGAACTTCTTTGATCATTTGTAAAATTTGCCCTTACATTTAAATCATCAAGGTCAGTGTAGAGAAGTGGACAGAATGTCTGCCTTGCACTAGAGAAATCCCCACTGGTGTTTGGAGGATAACTTTGGCCAATCACCATCTTCCAGCCTAACTTCCTCACTGTGTGGCCGTAAGAATAAAAATGAAATAGACCACATGCAGTTCTCCTTCCCATCTCAATAGATGAAACTGTTTTCTGAAAAGTATTAATGATAATTTTAACTGCCTCTTAGTGACCATGTTGCGTCTTCCTAATCACAGATTGTCCATTACTGGGCAGTGGCCCTGCTTCTAATTCTCTCTCTCTTTTTTTTACCAGCTAGCTGTATTTTCAAGGAAAACTTAGAGCTGCACATAATCTTGTATAACAACATCCTTCTCAGACTGCACAACAGTTCATAGGCAGTGTTGGTTTTTCAGATTTTGAAGAGTTGGGAGCTGAAGCAAATGCTGAGAAGAGAGGTAACACATACACACACACACACGTGTGTGTGTGTGTGTGTGTGTGTTTTCTCCTACAGACCAAAAATGTGTGTGCATGGCTGTGTGTGGAAGTTTGAATCAAAGTTCAGTGATGGCCCTCCATCCAGAATAGCTGGTTTCCCAAACCACAGCACCCCCAACATGCATCCCAAAACCACCTCCAGATCTAGTTCAAATGTTCCACAGCCTCTCTGGGACATCCTAATGATATATAAGTCCAAATCTCTGAAAGATGTCCCTTAGTGGTTTCATGCAGATGTCAAAAAGCATAGGCCAATGGGCATGGTGAGGACCAGGACATGGTGAGGGGCAGAAGCCCCTCAGCACCATCCTCGGAGACTGCTTATCCAGGAAGGACTGAAGCACCAGAAAACTGCCTCCTATGCCCAGACCAGGTAAGTACTCCAAATGGATACCAGAGTTGAAGGTACCAAGAACCACTGAAAGGTCCAGGTGAACCAACAGGGTTGCCTCCCCTCCAATCCACCCTTTAATGTAAGTCTCCCACTAGGGTGTTTCTTCTGCATATGCTACTTTCATCCAAAGCTAGTTTTATCCCACAGCTATGTTTAAAAACAGAATGAACTAGATCTAAAAACAATCACTCTTATCTGAAACTGCTAAAATGCTGTGGGAGAAGGGTTAACTTTCTCCAGTGTTGCTTTCCTAATCCAACCTTCAACCCCATCCCCCAAGACTGCTTTCAAGCTTACAAAAACAACTTGGGAAAATCCAATCATGGATCTAGTTTAGTTCTCAGTTTGCTGTAAAACAAAGCATTTTAAAACATTGGCTGAAAGGATGCTGCAAAAGCAGTGCTGTCCGTACAGTAACAGAGTAGAAAAAAATTCCAAATATGACTCGGTATGCTGTTTCGCAAGGTGCATTTTGTGCACCTCTGCAAGTTAGCAGGTGAAAATGTTCTAACAGAAATACCAGTAGCACTTATGTCAAGAAACTGAATGCCCCAACTACAAGTTTGTCACTGACTGGATTCTTTTGGCCTAATCATTTATCTTTTGTAATATAGGAATTTTAATTTTCTCTTTCAAGAGAGTGTTTCCCTTGTTTGTGTTTCCAAAGGGGGAGCCATTCTTGCTAAGCTCAGAAAAGCTTGTAGCTCAGAATTTTCTCCAGCAGTTTCAGTCTTCCATCTTTTCCTGTGTCTCCAAATGAATGGCAAGAAGGCTGAATGAGTCATGTCCCCTATGACTTGTGTCAGGAGAACAATGCCTGAAGAAATTAAGAACTAAGAAGAATAACCATGTGATGAAGCAGTGTGCATTTAAGAATACAATGTTGGTTAATATCTTGATTAGATCCAGCCACAATTCTATTATGAACTCTCCAGAACTCTTAATCATGCTAGATGGTACTAAAAGCAAGAGTGTGCAGGGAGAAACTAGAAAGTCCAAAACTGTGGCTGCATGTAATGGCTTTTAAATCTATAGTTAAGAGAGCCCCAGTCTCAAAACAGATACTGCAGATGGTGTGCAATCCTATGCTGATGACCATAACCCCTTCAGCTCAGAGGCTTACAGGCATCCAATGCAGACTGGGAAGAGTGGTAGAGGGAAACTTCATCCTTCCGCCCTGCATGCTCCACTAGACAGACTGTTTTTCTCTCCAGCTGGAGCATCTTGGAAAGGAAAGAAGCTGGAGAGGCATCAGGATAAATCAGATCCTAGCATCTTCAATCCCCTCCCTGCCCCCATCCACCCTTCCCCCCTCTGCAAGATTGCTTGCCTGACCTCAAACAGCAGCTGGCAAAGCAGTTCTGTTTGTGCCAGCTGCAAAAGGGAGGGGAATCCAAGTTCCAGTTCCCTGCTCAAGGTTACAGCATGGTCTCTGACCTCAGCTCTGGGAATCTGAATTATCCTGTGGCCCTGCCAAACACTGCAGGATCCAGAGGATTATTTCCTCCATGAAGCAGTCAGTGATAGGTGCAGCAGGTATGTAATCGCAACTGCATTTGGAATGCTGGTTAGTCCAAATAAAGGTCTTACCGAACTGTGAATGTTTCCCCTTAAGGACAATCGTAGCTATATTGGCTTTAAGAATACACATGTGGTAACAGAATATTTAAAAGCAAGCAAGCCCTGGGACATGATTTCCTAAACTATAGCTTTCATTAAAATTGCTGCTTTTTTGGACAGATGCTTTTTATAATTGACTGATCATCCTTGGAACAAGTTGTTCTTGTTTTATTTCTGTCTGACATACAGTTCTTAAAATTACAGAGGCCCTAGTGAGTGAGGAAGGGCACAAAAGTTGCAATTAAGGAGAATTAAACATTAAATTAACTGTTTTCTTTGAATTGCAGATTGGAATAAGTTTGTAGTGACAAATGTGAATACCTCACATATACACAGTGACTAAAGCTGATATTGCTAACTAAATACAGTGAGTAACAATAGCTTACTTTTTGTCTTCCATCAATGTGCAGTACTTACAGCTAGATCCTGTAAGGTAAAGCTAATGATCAGTACCTATGACTTCTATTTCACCTTATCTTTCCCCTACCCAGGAAACTGTTAAAGTTATAAAAGCCTAACATGATATCTATCTTTAAGTGTTAAACCATGAAGGAAATTACAGGAAACTAACCTATTCCACCACAGACCACAAAATGGCACTCTTCCTTTTTGCCTTGTCTGGTTGATCTGGTTGTTTTCAAACATCTTCTACAAGCTATTGCATGAGAGTTTTTTCCCCTTGGAACCAAAATCAGCAGAACAATTAGAATACAAGGCCCAATAATCCCTTTCCAGGCATGCGCAGGGCTTATTTCAATGTTTCTATCACAGGGGCTTAATTAAAAGAGTCCCAAAAGGCAAGGAAAGCCATGCCAACATTCCCCACATGTACACTGTGTTGTGATTCTTAGGAGCAGGTCACATCAACAGCTGGATATGGGGTGGTATTACTGAAACCAGATGAGCTAGTGTGTTTACATTTAAGCAGGTTCTTAAACAGATAAAAGGCAGCAACCCCTGCTTCAGAGAACAGGTATTTCAGGTTGCTGGGAAAGATCAAGTTGTCTCAGATAGCGGCTCCCTTTTCAAAAAGACCAGATCGCAAGCAATGCAGACCTCTTTATCTCACCCAGCTTTCTTCTTGCGTAATCCCAAATCCCCAAAGAGCTTTTCATTATACAAGGTACTCATGCTCTCTCCCGCACCCTCTATAAAAAGGCACACTTAAAAGTAAATGGAAGCTGGTGATTTGTCTTCTCATAGTGATGAATTCTTTTCCCCGTTCCTATTTCATTCTCCATGGTGGTCCCAGTTAATTATTACATATCCCATGTTTAACATATACAACAAAGAGTTGTCTGGGCACTGCAGATTTATGAGAGAACAGTGGGGCGACCTCCTGATTGAGTCTCAGAAGTGAAATGTCGAGTGAGAAGAACTTAATCATGATGGTCACCTGAGATTTGAACTGTCTCCCATGAAAGTCATCATTTAGTCCCAATTCTGCATCTGTGACTCTCTAGGAAATTTCAGGGTAACGGTCCACACAGAAATCCAAAGATATAATCTAAAAGCCTAACTTGTTCACCTCAAGCAAAGGAAATCTTCCTCTACACTGGGAGAAAGTTGACCGTCAGGGAGGGTGGACATCACAATAATCCACCCTGGAAATAATAATAATAATTATTATTATTATTGTTGTTATTGTTATTATTATTATAACATTTCTATGCCGCCCCTTGCCGAAACCTCGGAGCGGCTTACAACATGATAAAATACATTGAAATACAATAGTACATAATAAATTACCATTAAATATAAAAATACAAAAAAATACAAATAAGCTGCAGTGGGCTGGACATATGTGAAACAACCCACAGTGATCCTGACAGATGATGGGGCTCACAGTGGGTTGCTGGTTCTCCTTTCTGCCCTCAAATTTCCTGCAGGTTTCCCAGAAGACCCTGGAAGAGGAATGGGTTCTTTCCCCCTCTTCCCACCATGACTATGGATGATTTCAAGTTTGCCAAAGCCCTTTCTCTCTTTAAACTTTTTTTCTGGGGGTGTAGGTCATGAAAGCCAACTGTCAAGCCAGCTTTTGTGATCCCATTTTGACAGCTGTAGGCCATCCCTTCAAAAAGTCCCAGTAGCACCTTCCAGGGGCTGCCTGTGGTAGCCAAATCTTTTATTTTATTTGCTCAAAAATGTGCAGAAACATAGCATTTTTTAAATTGTAGGCACAGTTGTGTGACTGAGGTGATCTCCAGGGGATTGTCTGTTGCCCAAATGCACTGCCCAGAAAGGGCTTCAAATTGTTTTCCCCCCTCTGCCGGTTTCTTTGGACACCTGTCAAAAGATGAGCTGTCAAGATACACCAAAAGCATGAGGGATCATTGCACCAAAAACAAACAAGAGTTGAAGGAATTTACACTTCTTTTGTACAAAGACTCCTTGCTCTTCAGTTAGTCCTCTTCCTGCAGCACACTTTGCAGTTTGTCCCAAGCCTCTAGGTGCTCAGGAAAGTGCAAATGTGCACACTCGATTTTGGTCACTTGATCACTTTAAAAAGGATGTTGAGAGAAAAATGGGAAGTTGTGACTATGACACATAGCTATGTTTTCACGGTCAAGAAGCCTGCACTGCCTAGTCAGAACCCCATTTTAAAAGGACCCAGCGTTTTGCCAGCTAGCCATGAAAATTCATGTTCCCAAGAAAAAAAGCAGTCGCACACTTGCACTTTCTTGAGACTCCAGACTCAGGACAAAGGGCATGAAAATGGGGACCCAAGATTAAGAGCCGTGAGGCTTAGGCTACAATCATTTGGTGTCAAGTAAAACTACTTTGAAACAGGGTGCACTTAACTTAGTCAGAAACAGCTAATTTTGGCTCAGTTTCCCATACAAGCAACATTCCAACTTGTTGACGTGTGGGATAAAAATGGAGGGAGAGGCTTTAGCTGCTTGATTTCATTCTGCTGAAGTGCAGTGCCTGGCAGTGGAAGGTAGTCAAGTCTGTGAATAATAGGACAAAGCAAGTTCCATTTTGCTTGTGGTTGCATTTTAAATTAAGAATTCTTTGAGGTTCACAGTGGAGCCTTCTAGTATATGAGGAAAGTGTGTACACCTGAAGGCATTAATGCATGTGCATTCAGATTCCAAGCAAAATCAAACCTTGCCCAAAATATCTCTATTCGATTCTGGTTCCAGAAGTAAAGTAGTGAATATTGGTTTTGGCTGCACTTGGTTTTTGGAAGCCAACTGTACCAAAAAGCATGTTGTTTTAAGAGAAATGCAACACATTTAAAAAAAATCTCAGGTACAGATGCCGAAGATAAGGAAGGCTAGGACAGCTGGGGTGATCATATCATAGCATATCATATCCTTGGACTAAGAATTTTTTGACTGGTGGGAAAGGGAATGCATGCATATGCAGAGCACATACGAAGAGTGTGAGAGAAACAAACATCAGTGGCACAGCTAGGTCTGCAGCTCAAAACTGAAGTTCAGGGTCCTGCAACCCAAGAAAGTGAGAGGGATGGGGACAGTGGCAGGTACACCACACCTGCAGTCTTCACCTGGGATCACCACAGCATCGTTTCTTCTTATCCTTAACAACATCTTATTTTATTTTATTTTTATTTATATTGTGATTTATATTTGGGGTAGGTGTCCAAGCGTGTGCATGGTGATAGAAGCACATTTTATTATTTTAACTTTCAAAAATTATTCTTTTCTACAGCAAAATGGTGCATATTCCTATGGGAGAATTTGTACATCACAACAGCCCATTGTAGTGATAGCCCACAGGGGGTTGGTTCTTCCATGAAATGCCCATGATGATCCCAAAATGTGATTGGGCACATGGTGTGTGATTCTCTGGCAGCCACATGTCCCAAGGGTCCCCTTGATTTTTCAATTAATCTCAAAATGATAGCAATTTGGGTGTTGCAAAAGTCACAGGGATTCCCTTTCCCAGGATTATGACAGTAGGTACTCCTCAGCTGTCAAAATTCAAGGTTGCTTTGAAAAGGGTTAATGATTTTTGTCTGGAGGGAAAGTGCACAGTCACATTGACTTGTGTATATTTGTACCCTTTCTTGACCCCTCCCCCAATTTTAACCCTTTTAGAAGCACAGGTCAAAAACAGAGCTCTGGAGCTTCTGGCTGTTAAGTTGAGAGGTCCATCTTTTAAGTGGGAAACCCCTTCAGTTTTCAATGTCCCCCAGACACTAGCAAAGCTGGGGGCAATTGGGAAAAATGCTCCCTGTTTGCAAATGGATTATCCATTTTTGGGGGGTGGATGCAGTTGTTCCTAAGGTCCTCTGAATTCATTCCCCCCAAAAGACTGTATGATCCATTTGTGAAAGGGGAAATGAGTGCAATTATTTGCACAGATCTTTTTCTCCCCTCCCCCGCCCCCACAAAAAAAGGAATGTGGCTGCAGGCATGAGGTATTGCTGGGGTGCCTTAGGATGCAGCTGACAGGTGCTCAGATGGAGATTATGAAAGGTGGTTGGACAGCTGGCTGTCATGATTCCCTCTCCCCCACCAAAAAGGTACAAGTACCTGCAACAAACAAAAAATGCCTTGCTTTCCCAGCAGGGAGGAGGGGAAGCCTTTGTCAGCTGCCCCCAAGTACCACTTGGGCACCCCTGCTGCCGGCAACAGCATCCCCGTGTAGCAACAGCAGTGAGGAAAGGGGGGGGGGTTACTCCTCTTGCCAAATAGCTTGCTTGTGCAGAGTTGGGCTTCACTTGGGATGGATCAGGTTGTCCAGGTTCAGACAACACAGTAACACATCATGGGTGAAAGAAACCCTGCAAGAGAGCATTGCTGTCACTGTGGTTGCCAACCACAATAAGACCCAATTGTTGGGAACCTTGAGTGGATTCGCACAACACCAACTACAGTCTATGTGCTTTCCATCAGTGCAGCATGATGGTGCTATGATTTGGCTTTAAAATGCAGAACTGCGCATGTTCAGAGTTGCTGTTTTTTTGTTATCAGTCTTGACCAACCTTTTTTCCTCTAACAGATCAGGAATGTAAAAGCAGTTATGAAGCAATATGATGGTGGAATGGGGAGAGAGAAATATTAGTCATGTGCTTCACAGCTGAAGTAATACACATGGCCATCTAAGTGTGTGTGTGGGGGTGGAGTTTAATTTTGTTTAACATGGAACAAAGATGTGAATTAGAAGTTTGGTGATGCCATGTTAATATAACCTCAAATATAGCAATGAAATTATAACTAAAACTGATAAACTTTTTAAAATATGGTGTAATCAGGAGACAGATGCCCAGTCATAAAAAGACATTAGAAATGTTGAAAAGTATCTATTCAGAATGTGGGCAGTATCTGCAAAAGGAAACATTGTTAAGAGCTGAAGACTGATCTGTGCAGAAAGTTGGCTAAGTCTCTTGCTGATATGCCACCAACCCCCAGTTCCATCACAAAATGCATCCCAAAGCTTTCCATGCTCTCAGAGTCATTAACCCTCTTGGATCATGATTACTATATTATCATCTGGCTTGCACATAATACAAGTCATGACTGGTGGATTTTCTTGTGGGGCTTGCTGCTTGGCATTGTTGACAATTCAAGCTGTGAGGGGATGGGGGCTTGGCTTATCCCATGCAAACTTGCTTAGGGTGGGTTGCTGAGGTAGCTAACAAGCCACCCAGAACCCATGGCCTGTTTCAGGGCTGCAGGCAGCTTGTGAACCATCAAGCCAATCCTCACCAGCTCCGCACATAACAACAAGCCATGGCAAGAAGCTCCATGGAAAAATTCACCCATGGTAACTTTATCATTACTTGCAAACAGGCTCAATGTTGAATCTGCTGGCCTGCAACCAAGAGGGAGGGGTTGGTGTTGTACAGCCACCTACGTGCTGTATGCCTTACCAGAGGAACTAATAATTACATGCAGGTGCAAAACATGCCAAACAAAAGTAAGCAAATGTAAAATTTCTTAATTATTTGTTGTGCTTTATACAAGTATGACATACTGTCACAATTTTTTACATAACACAAATCTGAGTTTTTACTTATTTTATTAGCCTAAAATGTATAATTTCAGTGTAGTTTGTTTCAATGTCATTAAAGCAATATTGATTTTATTTCATGATAATAAAAACATTGGTCACGGTTATAATTACTATTCACACAGTGCATTATTATATACATAGTACAACTCGGTTGACGGCACTTTTCAGAGTATGAAAGAACAGGTCTCTGCCTACAGGGTCTTACAATCTAAAATTCAACACAGAAGAAAACGGAAAGGGAAGAGTGGCCGAGGCAAGGGTAAACATGAGAACAATCTAAGTTACCAATTATATCTACTTAAGGATGGAAACACATTTGTAATATGAAGTGGCACCAGAAGCAGTTATTTAGAGTGTGTCTCATGGATAAGACTATGTTAACATAATGCCAAAATAGTTTTCCTTCTTGTGCTTTCACAGCAAGGGTCTATAGCTTTCATCGAACCAAATCAAGCTGAAAGTTCTGCAAAATGAGTGGTTGTTATGTTATATGGGACATCTTCTTTGGGCATGAGTGATCAAAGCTAAAAGAGAAAATTAAAATCCAAGGTGCCATTTCACCCTCGATGGTAGCAGCGACATAAGCAGAGACATTCCAGTGCATAAGTGTGCCAGGACTTACATCTACATTCTTTCTCATGCGTGGGTCCCATTTTAAAGCAGCCCTTGCCTTTTAAAGTCGAGACAGCAAATGCATAGGCTGTAACACTAGGCAATGTCCAATGAGGCACAGTAGTGACTGAGTAGACCAACTTCCTCATCCAAAATATGTTTAACTTATATTACCCGATCAAATTGGCTACGTTTTAAAACAAAAGACAACTCAGGAAGAGGTGTGAATAGGTTCTCACAAATTCTAGATCTGCTGTAGCAATGTTACATGCACAGAAAACAAAGTGGGCAGCAAAATGTTTCTAAATACCCTGTTTGTTTGTTTGTTTGTTTGTTTGCATGCATAGTTTTGCTGGGAGGTCAGCATGTTCCCCTTTCAGATATAAGGTGGTCACTGATCCAGCTCATATTCACTTTCCAGTTTATCTAGTGAAGGTTATTCTATCTGGCCATTCTCTTCCCCACACAGTGCCTTTTTCTGTGAACACAAAAGAGTTCTTCAGCAACAGATTCTGGGAAAGTTCAAAGCTTATATAGTTGTCTTCTGAGACAGGTTTTGACTGGGAGAGGAGAAAACCATATTCTTTCAGTCCTGACAGTTTGCCAAGATGCCTTCCTGACCCCTCTTTAACTAGCTGGTTATGTTATGGCTGTGCTACAGTTCCTATAAGAAGTTAACATACTAAAGTACCATTTCATTCAACTGCACAATGAAAGTTAACACAGCCACAGTGGAGAAACCCATGGAGGATTATGGGAATTGCTATCTAACCCATCTGAAGAGCAGCAGGTAGGGGAAGGCTGGTTTAGACATAACTTTTTGCAGCAATGTTGACAATTTTTTGAGCCTAACCACTCAACAGCTATGTTAATATTCTGAACATTAACAAGATAATATTTTTGGTGCGAATTAGGCAAAAAGCCAAACATGCATGTTATATACAATAAATAACTTTAGAATCCTAAGTAGGTACTAGCATTCCAGTTTAATAAGCCCCATTTCTGCAGAAAGACCTTTGAAGGACTATGTGAGAACAGGTACAACAAGCTATAACAAAATATAAGGCATGACAAAATATACATCAATGAAAAGGGATAGAATAAATATAACCATCATCTATTCAGGTAAAAGATACTAACAATACTGGCTTGTATTATATGTTCCCAACCACATGCTAATAGCAACAGATGCCAAAATCAGCCAAAATGCTCAACATTTCTTCTTTGCCTCTATCATAACGGAAAAAGATAGCAGGAGAAAAAGAGAAATAAGCTTTGCCATAACTAGGAAATAACTTGCCAGAAGGCAAGTAATTCTGGCCATAGCTATTACTCTAGGGAGTTTTATGGCAATCATAATAGAAGAACCCACTGAGACAAAAACAATCTACTAGGTATCTCTCATATTATTTTGACAGAATCAGCGGAGTCAATGAGATGACAAAGATAAGATTCAGAGGCACAGAGCATTCCGTGACACTTTGAAGCTTTGATACTGTCAGATGGTCTTCATACAATAATGAAAAACAGAGAACATGCGCTGAACACAAGAAAGCCCATGTAACAAAATCCCTGATGTGCATGGACAAGATTATGACTCGTAAGTCTGATTTCATCTCTTTGTAGTGATGCACATGGGAGTTACTTAACACCTTCACAAGCCCTTATATAAAAGCCTCTGTGGCTACGTACACAATTCGTACAATAGTAGGGCTGATGTGGATATGCACTTTCCACATTTGATTCATATGTACAGTCTGTGCTCCAGTTCTGCCAGAAATCAACTGTGCACAGAACTGATTAGCTGGTGTCTGAGACTCCACAAACCTTCTCATTACTTTTCCAACTTAAAATAATGTTAAGCAAAACAAGCAAACCAATACACAGGATGATCCAGTAGCAGCCTTTCCAATGTACCACTTGGGAAGCTTGACGTTGTCATCAGCTGTCAAACTGGAGATCACAAACAGTGCATATTTAAAAAAAAAAGAGACGGAGAAGCGGGAAGAAGCCATGTGAGCACAAAAGGGCTCATAATTGCAAGAGGGGACACCAGGCGGGGCCAGTTACTCCACTGTGCTGCTTGGGCATTGCTTGGTGGCCATCACTGGCTGTGGGCCATGCTAACTCAGCAAGAGGTTTCTGCCTGTCTTGCCAAGCGGTTCAGTAGCCAGCCACTTTTCAGAATCCATGATGGGGTCATTCATCCAGGTTCAAACAACACAACAAGCCATTTTTGTTGGGGTGGCTTGTTGCCCATTAACAAGCCTCCCTGCAGGAGTAAGTCCAAAACACAAGAGTGCCTTGAGACTTTTCACCCACAATGGGTTGCCATGCAAACCTAGTCAGTGGCCTGTTGTGAGCACTGACACTTGCCAGGCATGATTTGCATAACCATGGGCCAGCTGCAGCTTACTATGTCACCGAAAGCCAAGTTAAACAACCTTGAAATAATTCCACAATAGTTCGAGTTGTTCAAGGCAACCTGACAAGTTGTGGCCATGTCAGCCTTGGCTTGGCTTGATCCTATGAACCAGATCAGAGTCAGCCCATAGGTCCATTTAGCTCAGAAACGAACAACAGGCATTCTCCAGGGTTTCAGGCAGGAAAGTTTCCCAGCCCAACCTGGACATGCTGAGGAATGAACTGGGGCCTTCTTCATGCAAAGCGAGCGCACGCACACTGAGCAGTGGCCTCTCCCCCTGAATGACAGCAGCTATGAGAGCTTCGCCAGTTTTCGCTCTTCAGGCAGGA